CTTCTTGATTTCAGAGGAAGGAAGATCTACGAGCCGCCTCGCTTCATGACCGTCAGTCAGGCTGCGGATCAGCTGATCCAGATCATCCAGAGGAGGAGGGGGGAGGGGGCGGAGCTAGGTGAGTGAAAGCTCTCCTCTGATTGGCTCAACAGACTTTTTATAACTGAAGCCCCGCCCACCAAAGTCACATGAAATAAATACGTTGGAGACGCATTTATTTCACGTTTGCTTTGGCGACGTAGACCTGTGTCCCACCAAATGAAACGCAGGAAGTGAACAGAGTTTAAGGATGTTTAGCCTGCTGTTAGCATGATTATGCTACTGTTTGTTAGCATGCTAAACAACCCTGTGCTAATATTTAACGCAGTGACTAAAACTAAAACTGTTGCTATCAGGGCTGGAAATTAACACCCGCCAAGCGCAGGTCTGTTTTTTAGCATTTAGCTAGCTAGCTACCACCGTAACGTTCATACCAGGCTGCGTGTAGAACAGCTCTGTAACTGTGAAGGGACGTCAAAAATGAGGCTGAAGCAGAACATAAAAATTAATTAATGAGGAGGCTTAAGCTGAATAATAAGCATCTTGTAAGTTTATAAAACAATTTACTGTTATGTCTTAAGTACATTTAATAGCAATAGATAAATTTTGCTACAAACTTCAATCTGGCATTGTCTTTAAGTTTGTAATCGACAGAAGACCTTATCTCAATTAAAAGAACTGAAACAAATGTTTACGTGATATAAAAAGGCAAGTTATTATTTTGGCCGGTGGATTTTTTCATCTAGCAGTCCTACTGGCAGGTGAGCCAAAAGTTAATTTCAACCCCTGGTTGCTATGCAGTCAGACTTGAAGCCCATGTTTCTGATTGGCTGCTGGTGGTGACAGGCCCCTCCCATCCTGCCATAAAGAGCCAATCAGCTGTTCTCAGACCAGCCTTGTTGCCCCCTGCAGGTGTGACTGAGGACACGGTGTGCGTAGGCGTGGCCCGGCTCGGCGCAGACAACCAGATGATCCGCACAGCAACGTTACGGCAGCTGGTGTCATGTGATCTCGGCGGCCCGCTCCATTCGCTGGTCGTCACAGGTCGGCTCCACCCGCTGGAGGTGGACATGCTGCGAGTGCATGCAGAACCAAACGCGCTGGAACACCTGCGTATGGTTGACAGCTCCACCTACTGCTCATAAGACCTTGCCTGAACTCTAACGGCAGGTAGCAGTACAGCAACATATGTATACATAATGAATTCTGGGAAACTGTCCATGTGATGTCATCAATAAAGACGGATCAATAATCAGCTCAGAGAAACAAAATTATTTATTACAGTTGAAAAAAACTGAAACCCACTGACTTGTCATATGATTTGGTCACATGGTTTGGCACGTTAAAAACACAGTAACATCACACGGACCAATCAGTTGGCAGCAGTGATGTCACGGGGGGGAGGGGGCATCTGGACAGGAAGCGGGCTCAGATAGTCTCTGATGATGAAGGCACTTACCCAGAATGCTTTTTTCCAGTCTACAAAGTACAGCCAGAAGGAGGAGGGCGGGGTCACAGTGCCCGCCAACCGGACAGGTAAGGTTATTTAAAAAAAAAAAAAAAAAATGGGGGGGGGGGGTGCAGTCTGAGTTCATCCAGGATGCATTGGGCTGGAGCATCATGGGAGATCAGTCAAGTTCTTAACTGCCCAGCCCCTGGTCTCAGTCTGACCCTCAGAGGTCGCCTGCAGGTGATTGGTCCCTGGTGTTCAGAGGAGGAGGAGCTTCTACATGGAAGCCTTTTCAATCTGAACGTAGAGCTGTCGAACTCCGGCCTGCAGAGACATTGAGACATCAGGTAGGTAGTGTTAGTAGCGGCAGTAACTAGTGTTAGTACTAGTGTTAGTAGCGGCAGTAACTAGTGGCAGTAGTGGCAGTTAGTAGTGACAGTAATTTGTGTTAGTAGTGGCAGTAACTAGTGGCAGTACTAGTGGCAGTAACTAGTGTTAGTAGTGGCAGTAACTAGTGTTAGTAGTGGCAGTAACTAGTGTTAGTAGTGGCAGTAACTAGTGTTAGTACTAGTGGCAGTAACTAGTGTTAGTACTAGTGGCAGTAACTAGTGTTAGTACTAGTGGCAGTAACTAGTGGCAGTAACTAGTGGCAGTAACTAGTGTTAGTAGTGGCAGTAACTAGTGTTAGTAGTGGCAGTAACTAGTGTTAGTAGTGGCAGTAACTAGTGGCAGTAACTAGTGTTAGTAGTAGCAGTAACTAGTGTTAGTAGTGGCAGTAACTAGTGACTAGTGTTAGTAACTAGTGGCAGTAACTAGTGTTAGTAGTGGCAGTAACTAGTGTTAGTAGTGGCAGTAACTAGTGACAGTAACTAGTGACAGTAACTAGTGTTAGTAGTGGCAGTAACTAGTGTTAGTAGTGGCAGTAAGTAGTGGCAGTAAGTAGTGGCAGTAACTAGTGTTAGTAGTGGCAGTAACTAGTGTTAGTAGTGGCAGTAGTAATTAGTGGTAGTAACTAGTGGTGGTAGTGGCAGTAAGTAGGCAGTAGTAATTAGTTGTAGTAACTAGTGGTGGTAGTGGTAGTAGTACTAGTTAGTTACTACAACAACAACAACACTGACAACCGGTTACTTTTACAGACTAACTTTGTTCACTAGTAGCACTGCTGCTCCCGAGTGAAGATTTTAGCAGCACCACTCAACATGCAGCCCCCAGGGGCCCTAAGCAACATTCTGCTGAGGGCCCCTCCTACCTGACACGTGGACTGTTTCCCACACCTGAGCTGCCTCTACAGTCCTCCGGCTTCAGAAGCAGAGGAGTAGTTGTATTTCACCCTCACTTGTCAGGTACAAAGTCACAGAACGCTGAAAAACAGACAGCTGGCGCCCTACGGCCCCGCGGCTGGCGTCTTGCCGACGCAGACATGTGCCTGGCGCCTTACGGCCCTGCATTACACTACAAATACTGCTGCTACCACCACAAACATCACTACCACCACTGTTAGTACAACAGCTACTACTCGACAACTGAAGCTACTTCAAATACTACTGCTTTTCTGGTATGTTCAGGTACCTGTGTGAAGATGTTGTGCGTTTGCAACTAGTGGCAGTAACTAGTGGCAGTAACTAGTGTTAGTAGTGGCAGTAACTAGTGTTAGTAGTGGCAGTAACTAGTGTTAGTAGTGGCAGTAACTAGTGTTAGTAGTGGCAGTAAGTAGTGGCAGTAACTAGTGTTAGTAGTGACAGTAACTAGTGTTAGTAGTGACAGTAAGTAGTGGCAGTAACTAGTGTTAGTAGTGACAGTAACTAGTGTTAGTAGTGGCAGTAAGTAGTGACAGTAACTAGTGTTAGTAGTGGCAGTAAGTAGTAACTAGTGTTAGTAGTAACAGTAACTAGTGTTAGTAGTGGCAGTAACTAGTGTTAGTAGTGACAGTAAGTAGTGGCAGTAACTAGTGTTAGTAGTGACAGTAACTAGTGTTAGTAGTGGCAGTAAGTAGTGACAGTAACTAGTGTTAGTAGTGGCAGTAAGTAGTAACTAGTGTTAGTAGTAACAGTAAGCAGTAACTAGTGTTAGTAGTAACAGTAACTAGTGTTAGTAGTGACAGTAACTAGTGTTAGTAGTGGCAGTAACTAGTGTTAGTAGTGGCAGTAAGTAGTGACAGTAACTAGTGTTAGTAGTGGCAGTAAGTAGTAACTAGTGTTAGTAGTGGCAGTAACTAGTGTTAGTAGTGACAGTAAGTAGTGTTAGTAGTGACAGTAAGTAGTGTTAGTAGTGGCAGTAACTAGTGTTAGTAGTGGCAGTAAGTAGTGGCAGTAACTAGTGTTAGTAGTGGCAGTAACTAGTGTTAGTAGTGGCAGTAAGTAGTGACAGTAACTAGTGTTAGTAGTGGCAGTAAGTAGTAACTAGTGTTAGTAGTAACAGTAACTAGTGTTAGTAGTGGCAGTAACTAGTGTTAGTAGTGACAGTAAGTAGTGGCAGTAACTAGTGTTAGTAGTGACAGTAACTAGTGTTAGTAGTGGCAGTAAGTAGTAACTAGTGTTAGTAGTAACAGTAAGCAGTAACTAGTGTTAGTAGTAACAGTAACTAGTGTTAGTAGTGACAGTAACTAGTGTTAGTAGTGGCAGTAAGTAGTGACAGTAACTAGTGTTAGTAGTGGCAGTAAGTAGTAACTAGTGTTAGTAGTGACAGTAAGTAGTGTTAGTAGTGACAGTAAGTAGTGTTAGTAGTGGCAGTAACTAGTGTTAGTAGTGACAGTAAGTAGTGGCAGTAACTAGTGTTAGTAGTGGCAGTAAGTAGTGGCAGTAACTAGTGTTAGTAGTGGCAGTAAGTAGTGACAGTAAGTAGTGTTAGTAGTGGCAGTAAGTAGTGACAGTAACTAGTGTTAGTAGTGGCAGTAACTAGTGTTAGTAGTGACAGTAACTAGTGTTAGTAGTGGCAGTAAGTAGTGACAGTAACTAGTGTTAGTAGTGACAGTAAGTAGTGGCAGTAACTAGTGTTAGTAGTGGCAGTAAGTAGTGGCAGTAACTAGTGTTAGTAGTGACAGTAACTAGTGTTAGTAGTGGCAGTAAGTAGTGACAGTAAGTAGTGTTAGTAGTGGCAGTAAGTAGTAACTAGTGTTAGTAGTGGCAGTAAGTAGTAACTAGTGTTAGTAGTGGCAGTAAGTAGTAACTAGTGTTAGTACTAACAGTAACTAGTGTTAGTAGTGGCAGTAACTAGTGTTAGTAACTAGTGTTAGTAGTGGCAGTAACTAGTGTTAGTAACTAGTGTTAGTAGTGGCAGTAACTAGTGTTAGTAGTGGCAGTAACTAGTGTTAGTAACTAGTGTTAGTAGTGACAGTAAGTAGTGGCAGTAACTAGTGTTAGTAGTGGCAGTAACTAGTGTTAGTAGTGGCAGTAAGTAGTAACTAGTGTTAGTAGTAACAGTAACTAGTGTTAGTAGTGGCAGTAAGTAGTAACTAGTGTTAGTAGTGACAGTAACTAGTGACAGTAACTAGTGTTAGTAGTGGCAGTAAGTAGTGGCAGTAACTAGTGTTAGTAGTGGCAGTAAGTAGTGGCAGTAACTAGTGTTAGTAGTGACAGTAAGTAGTGGCAGTAACTAGTGTTAGTAGTGACAGTAACTAGTGTTAGTAGTGGCAGTAAGTAGTGACAGTAACTAGTGTTAGTAGTGGCAGTAAGTAGTGACAGTAACTAGTGTTAGTAGTGGCAGTAACTAGTGACAGTAACTAGTGTTAGTAGTGGCAGTAACTAGTGTTAGTAGTGACAGTAAGTAGTGGCAGTAACTAGTGTTAGTAGTGGCAGTAAGTAGTGGCAGTAACTAGTGTTAGTAGTGACAGTAACTAGTGTTAGTAGTGGCAGTAACTAGTGTTAGTAGTGACAGTAACTAGTGTTAGTAGTGGCAGTAACTAGTGTTAGTAGTGGCAGTAACTAGTGTTAGTAGTGGCAGTAAGTAGTGACAGTAACTAGTGTTAGTAGTGGCAGTAAGTAGTAACTAGTGTTAGTAGTGGCAGTAAGTAGTAACTAGTGTTAGTAGTAACAGTAACTAGTGTTAGTAGTGGCAGTAAGTAGTGGCAGTAACTAGTGTTAGTAGTGACAGTAACTAGTGTTAGTAGTGGCAGTAAGTAGTGGCAGTAACTAGTGTTAGTAGTGGCAGTAACTAGTGTTAGTAGTGGCAGTAAGTAGTGACAGTAAGTAGTGTTAGTAGTGGCAGTAACTAGTGACAGTAACTAGTGTTAGTAGTGGCAGTAACTAGTGTTAGTAGTGGCAGTAAGTAGTGACAGTAAGTAGTGTTAGTAGTGACAGTAAGTAGTGTTAGTAGTGGCAGTAAGTAGTGACAGTAACTAGTGTTAGTAGTGGCAGTAAGTAGTAACTAGTGTTAGTAGTAACAGTAACTAGTGTTAGTAGTGGCAGTAAGTAGTGGCAGTAACTAGTGTTAGTAGTGACAGTAACTAGTGTTAGTAGTGGCAGTAAGTAGTGACAGTAAGTAGTGTTAGTAGTGGCAGTAACTAGTGACAGTAACTAGTGTTAGTAGTGGCAGTAACTAGTGTTAGTAGTGGCAGTAAGTAGTGACAGTAAGTAGTGTTAGTAGTGACAGTAAGTAGTGTTAGTAGTGGCAGTAAGTAGTGACAGTAAGTAGTGTTAGTAGTGGCAGTAACTAGTGTTAGTAGTGGCAGTAAGTAGTAACAGTAACTAGTGTTAGTAGTGGCAGTAAGTAGTAACAGTAACTAGTGTTAGTAGTGGCAGTAACTAGTGTTAGTAGTGGCAGTAACTAGTGTTAGTAGTGGCAGTAGTAATTAGTGGTAGTAACTAGTGGTGGTAGTGGTAGTAGTACTAGATAGTTACTACAACAACAACAACACTGACAACTGGTTACTTTTACAGACTAACTTTGTTCACTAGTAGCACTGCTGCTCCCGAGTGAAGATTTTAGCAGCACCACTCAACATGCAGCCCCCAGGGGCCCTAAGCAACATTCTGCTGAGGGCCCCTCCTACCTGACACGCGGACTGTTTCCCACACCTGAGCTGCCTCTACAGTCCTCCGGCTTCAGAAGCAGAGGAGTAGTTGTATTTCACCCTCACTTGTCAGGTACAAAGTCACAGAACGCTGAAACACAGACGGCTGGCGCCCTACGGCCCCGCGGCTGGCGTCTTGCCGACGCAGACATGTGCCTGGCGCCTTACGGCCCTGCATTACACTACAAATACTGCTGCTACCACCACAAACATCACTACCACCACTGTTAGTACAACAGCTACTACTCGACAACTGAAGCTACTTCAAATACTACTGCTTTTCTGGTATGTTCAGGTACCTGTGTGAAGATGTTGTGCGTCTGGCTGAGGATCCAGCGGGTGTCGGCGTCAGGGGCGACCAGCAGCTTTAATGTTCCGATGTAAACGTCAGTACACAGAGTCCAGAAGTGAGGCTCCTGTAGGTTATAAACTCCCTGCAGCTTCTGCACCTGAACACAACACAACAAAGCGGCAGTTAGACTCGACCCGTCGTGTTCCAGGTGTAGCTGGTGGCGGGGTTGGGTGTGGGCGGGACCTGTACTCACCCTCTGGTAACACTCGGGCAGGGCGTGGTCCAGGGACGGAGGAGTTCTCTGCATCAGGATCCCGATGGATTCTTTCAGTAACGGCACCACGCTGCGGGTCAGAGAGGACGTGTGAACTCTAACAGCTGATTCAGAGGCTCCACCCCCTCACTGACATCACAACCTGGACACTGCAGATACTTGTACTACTGCTTATAGTATTAGCACTTATTATAAATGGTACTACTAATTATGCAATTGTTAGTAGTAACTACAACAAGTACTGCCACGACTACAAACAAATACTAACTACAAAACCACTATAGTTCTACTATTATAGTAGCACAACTACTTTTAAGGCAGTTACTACAACAAATGTTGCACAGTTAAAGGTTTTCAGAGCTGAGTACTTGAATCTGTAGATTTTTAGCTGGGGTTTGGTCTGAGCAGCTGCAGTAACCGGACACCTGTGGTTGTGTGCAGGCCTCTCAGCTGACCACAGATCTGCTCTGCTCATGTTTAAATCTGCAGCTGCCTTCACTTCCAGCCCATCAAAGCCAGGCCGGACTGTTTCCAGCTCCATACCGGTGGTTTGGACGTTGGAGCCCATTAACTACTAATTGCACGTTCTTTACATGAGTGAAAACCAGTTTCCAGAGGATCCATCAGGCTACAGATTGATTTCCTTCCTTCCAGGCAGACGCTGGTTTCAGGTCATTCTGTGGAATCGGCCTGCAGATCGCTGATGCGTCACATGACGACGCAGCCGAGAACACTGGGAACAAAGGTTCCCTCGTTGGTGCGTTCATGGACGCTCCGACTCTTTAAAGCTGACTAAAGTCTTTAATGTGAGAAATAAACAAAGTCACAAAATAATTTTACAACTTCTGTTTGGTTATTTGTCAGAAAGTTCTAATGGTTCTTTAAAAGGTTCTAGGCTTTTTTTTAAAGTTCCTAATGGTCACTGAAGAGGTTCTATAGGGTTGGGGGGGTAATTTAAAAATTAATTTACTGATAAATATTTGAAATAAGATTATCAGTAATAAATATGTTTTTACTATTTTGCTTTAAATCATTCATTTGTGGAGAAACTGGGAGTTAAAGCTGCAGTTGGAGGCAAACAGGAAGTGACCTCACGCTATTGTTCCACTTCCTGTTTCACTCCTGCTGACACACACACTTCATTATGTGTTTGAAAATCCTGCAGTCTGTCATTATACAGAGAGAGCAGCTGATTGGACGACAGCTGAGGAGGAGGACGGCCACAACAAAGAGGCAGCTGGCCCCGCCCCCTCCCCCCCCCCCCCAGGTCTGTTGGCGTGGTCTCAGCTGGGTAAACCCGCCCACCCTGTTCTGGTCTGTCATAGGCTGAAAGGAAGCCCAGATGACACACTGAACGGGGGAGTGTGTGTGTGTGTTGGCCTCCCGTTAACAGTCTCCACGGTGACGCATCACCCGCTCAGCGCTGCCGTCTCTCTGTCCCTACATATTTATTACACTGTTTGTACGTCTGCGTCTCTCCTTAAAATGAAGTGACTAAACGTCATCAGCTCAGTTTGACTGTGAAACGGCGACTTTCGGCGTGCGGGTCACCTGACTCCGATGAGCAGGGCGATCAGCATGGAGCAGATGGGGTCGGCGATCATCAGGTCGTATTTCTGCATCAGCAGAGCGGAGATGATCACGCCGACGCTGCCCAGCGTGTCTGCGATGATGTGCAGCAGGACGCCTGCAACACACACACATATCAGAGTATATAAACAGTCAGCCTGCGTGTGCTGTGGCATTTAAGAACCACCAAATATGGAGATACATGGTTCTGACAGGACAGTTGGGTGAATGTGGCCGTGATGGTGTGTGAGCGCCCCCTGGTGGCCCCCTGGTGGCCCCCTAGTGGCCCCCTGGTGGCCCCCTGGTGGCCCCCTGGTGGCCCCCTGGTGGCCCCCTGGTGGCCCCCTGGTGGCCCCCTGGCTGTACTGTGTTCTTGTTCCTGCCTTCAGTCTGAAGTTCAGACAGTTTCCCCAGTTTGGTATCACAGAAGCAAATCTAACTTCAGGAATCAGGAAGTCCTAAACACTCAACAGCCTGTTACCTAGCAACCGACGCCGGCGTTTTTTGAATGAAACAACAACTATCGCTGAACTTGAAGCCGGATGTCTTGGAGGTGTTGGCGACGCTTTAGTCGGGACATTCCAGAGAGGCGGCGGGCCGAAACGGCCGACTCGGCGTCCGCCGTCTGTCCTGCGGCCAGCTGATGCCGTCAGAAAGAAACTCCGTCCCTCTACAGTGAGACCGAGAGAAAGGCGGCTGTTGCGTCCAGAGAGCAGAGGAACGCCGGCTCCTCCTGCGCTCCGTCGCCGACCCCGGCAGGAACCCCAACCTTAATACTGAAGGTAGATAATAGGACGCGGGCTGCGGGCTGACGGCGGCGTGTTGTCATGCGTTTCTGCTCTCTAACCATCTCCTGCTGTCAAAGAGTCGCATTAGGATGCTTCTGTTCCACCAAACCTTCACTTCACGCTACATAAGGAGACGTTACCCGGCGTCACGTCGCAGCCGGCCTTTCTGCGTCGGTTCGCGAGTTCGGCCTGCTGACGTGGCGTTGATCTGGTAACGGCAGTAAAAGAGCCGCGCGGACTAAACGAGTCAGAAAACAGCAGCCGGAGGAAAAGCTGAACACTTCTCCTCAAGTTAGGAGAGTTTATTTAAGACGCTTCTGTAAAAGCCGTTTCCTGTCTTCAGTTAGTTCCTATCACCATGGTTACCCAGCGGTTAGGATAGGATCTGCTGTGACGAGACTTTAATGCTCCAAATGTCTTCAAAGTTGTGTTAAACAGTTCATTTCCTGATTCCTGGTGAATGAGTCTAAGTCAGAGCTGCTCTCAGATCTGTTTCTCCTGCACATCAACTTACCTGCTGAGTCCTGCTTTAGTCTTCGCTCCTCTGTGCGTCTTTGTTTGGGGAAGGAACCTCTTTAAATGTGACTCTGGCTCCTTTTCAGCTCAGTGAGAAATGATTTAATTTGAATTCAGTTACAAACTCCTGGACTGTTACAGCTCCAGGGTTTCAGCAGCTTTTCCCACAGATCTGTGGCAGAATGTCACCAGACTAAAGTCACCATTTACTCTGCGGTGTGTTGCACTATTGCTCCACTCGTAGTTCCCTTCAACACTTCAGCAGAAATCTCACCAGGTCCAGGCACTTTTTAGACGCTTATGTTGTAGAACTCAGTTGAGGATGTTAAAATGTGTTGAGGATGCGGTCTGAGGTTCGGTTCTCACCCTGCAGGATCTGTTTACTGGATCCTGTCCCCGGCGAGTGCAGCAGCTCGTCTGCAACCAAAACACAAAGAGAACAAACTTTGCTTTGACTGGAAACACGAAACAAGGTCTCGACAGAGTCCGTCTGTCCCTCTGGCGTCTTCGATGCAGACTCACCGTGACAGTGGGACTCGTCGTGGCCGCCGTGGCTGTGGCCGCCGTGGCTGTGCCCGTGTCCGTCGTGGCCGCCGTGGCTGTGCCCGTGTCCGTCGTGGCCGCCGTGGCTGTGCCGGTCGGCGTGTTTGCTGTGGTGGTCGTGATTCACGCTGCCGTTAAACAGGGAGTGGCTGTGACCGTGACCTGAGGGAGAGACGGGCGGGTTAGAGACGTCGGCTTCTACACCCCGACGTTCTAAGTGTTGTGCAGACATTACCTCCCTCCCCGTGCGAGTGTCCGTGGCCTCCGTGCTGGAACACAAAGATCCCGACCAGGTTGACGAGCAGACCGGCAATTGAGACAGGAAGCAGCCGATCGTGGTGAACGTCAGGAGGCTCCAGAGCTCTCTGATGGGCAGACAGATGCATGCAGGGACATTTTCTCAGCTGTATCAGTCAACTTCTGTTCGAGCAAAACCTCAGTCGCTAGTTTCAAGTCTTCCTCAACACAGCATGATGTTCATTTAGTAAATTATGGGAGGCTTTAGGGCGGGGCTACAAGCTGATTGACAGGTCGCTACCATGGCGGCCTGTTTTTAAAGGTTTGTAGTAGTTGAACTGTCATATCAGCCCGTGACTGAAACCAACCACGTTTGTTCAGTCTGATTTCTGAGGCGTCTGTGAGCCGTTTGGCTTTTCAGTAGCTAGTTAGCTGATGCTAAGGCTAGCTGGTTGTTCTGGCTGTCAGAAGAGACGGCGTGCCGACGTCACACGTTGCAGTAAGCGCTGCCCTGGAAGGCTGTTGGAAACTAATGTAAACAGAGCTGCCTTCACTTGAAAGTGACGCCTTCTGAGGCAGCGAGGCAGCGGCCTTCTGCTTCCAGAAAAAAAACAAGATGGTGACGGTTCAAAACGGCGGTCCACAGACCAACGGGGGACGTCGTGGCGGCCACACCCACTTATTTTACACCGTGTGTGTGTGTGTGTGTGTGTGTGTGTGTGTGTGTGTGTGTGTGTGTGTGTGTGTGTGTGTGTGTGTGTGTGTGTGTGTGTGTGTGTGTGTGTGTGTGTGTGTGTGTGTTACCTCGACTCCTTCAGAGAAGATGAAGAAAGCCGTGAAGATGAGGAAGAGTCCGTTGACGAAGCCGGCCAGAACCTCAGCTCTGACGTAACTGAAACACATCAACACGCCAGACCTGACTAACTGAGCCCAGACCAGCACACCAGACCTGACTGAGCCCAGACCAGCACGCCAGACCTGACTGAGCCCAGACCAGCACGCCAGACCTGACTGAGCCCAGACCAGCACGCCAGACCTGACTGACTGAGCCCAGACCAGCACGCCAGACCTGACTAACTGAGCCCAGACCAGCACGCCAGACCTGACTAACTGAGCCCAGACCAGCACGCCAGACCTGACTAACTGAGCCCAGACCAGCACGCCAGACCTGACTGACTGAGCCCAGACCAGCACGCCAGACCTGACTGAGCCCAGACCAGCACGCCAGACCTGACTGACTGAGCCCAGACCAGCACGCCAGACCTGACTAACTGAGCCCAGACCAGCACGCCAGACCTGACTAACTGAGCCCAGACCAGCACGCCAGACCTGACTGACTGAGCCCAGACCAGCACGCCAGACCTGACTGACTGAGCCCAGACCAGCACGCCAGACCTGACTGAGCCCAGACCAGCACGCCAGACCTGACTGACTGAGCCCAGACCAGCACGCCAGACCTGACTGACTGAGCCCAGACCAGCACGCCAGACCTGACTGACTGAGCCCAGACCAGCACGCCAGACCTGACTGACTGAGCCCAGACCAGCACGCCAGACCTGACTGACTGAGCCCAGACCAGCACGCCAGACCTGACTAACTGAGCCCAGACCAGCACGCCAGACCTGACTGACTGAGCCCAGACCAGCACGCCAGACCTGACTGAGCCCAGACCAGCACGCCAGACCTGACTGAGCCCAGACCAGCACGCCAGACCTGACTGACTGAGCCCAGACCAGCACGCCAGACCTGACTGACTGAGCCCAGACCAGCACGCCAGACCTGACTGACTGAGCCCAGACCAGCACGCCAGACCTGACTGACTGAGCCAGAGCGATGTCTCACCCGTAGGAGAAGCTGTCGTTGGATCTCCACCTGGAGATGACGGAGGCTGCCAGACCTGCCAGCAGTGCGGTGCAGTCGAAGAACATGTGGAAGGAGTCTGAGATGAGACCTAAACTGAGGAGGAAACAACACACACAACAAACACACATTAAACACACATTAAACACACACATCAACCCTAATCATCCTGTAAGTAACTTTTCAGCACCACCTCCCGTCAGAGACGCAGCCTAAAGAAAGCTGTTAGCAACACTGGAAGAACTACAAGCAGAACGGCGTCTGTAGTTCTGCAGGGAGGAGCAACACCTGCGAATGCACGCTGCAGCACTGAGATGACAACATGAATAATAAACTAATAGTGAAGTGTGCAGATCAGCTGCCAGAAACTGCATCTTTTAAATTAAATAAATGTTTCCAGAGCAGCAGCAGAGTCACTTTTATAAACTCAAATATAGAACAAATCATTTGATCTAGCTCATCCGGACGGCTCAGGCACTGTTATTTTGTAGGCAGCAAGGTATCGAAAACAAACGTACCCGACGACACGGTGCAGGAAGCAGACGTCTGTGAATCTGACTGAATTTGACTTTTTCACAGCAGCAGATGAAAATCTCTCTTCCTACATGTTGATCAGGTTTATTGATGAACCTTTTACTCCTGAAGGGTTTATTGCATGGACTCACAGCAGAGCAGCGCGACAGGGTTTCCCATAATGCCTTTCCCTCACAGCAACATAATCACTAAAGAAACTAACCTGCTTCTCCTCCGGTTTCATGTTTTAATATAGTTTTATATGTAAAAAGAGCAGCGGCTGTTTGTGAACGCTGCTCTGTGGCCTCTGTGTGGCTGAACGCCTCCTGCACAGACAGTTTGTTCACACATGGAAGCAAATAAAGTTCAGATTCTTCTAATCAACTTCATCAAACAGACGTCTGAGAACTGAAGACTTTCATTTAGGTTTTAAAGGACAGGCTGTCTTATTAAAGGGACATTACTTAAAATACTTCACACACAGGAGATCTACAGAAGTAATGTGTGTCAGTCTCTTCAGTAACAGCAGATACGACTGGACGCTACAGAAAGATCAACTTTTAATATCCAGCAGGAGCCTGAACTTCACACGGAGACGCTGCTGCTCGTTCAGGTCATTGATAGAGAGTTACTTTTTACTCATCACTCATTTAAAAAGTAATAAATTACTTTACTTATTACAGGGTATTAAAAGTAATAAGTTACGCTGCTATAGGGCTGGGCAATAAATCAATCATGATAATTACTGCAATCTAATTTTCCTCGATAACAATATAACAAATGTTCAATATATTGCCAATAAATGTTTGGTTTAATTCATTTGTATAACAAACAAATTAGCACTTAATTTTTCTATTAAGATTTTTATTTTGTTGAGGGAAAGGGACTGAAAAAAAGATTTTCTCATCCTTGTTTAAAATGTTCCACCTGTGAAGTGAATCCTCTGTTTGGCATCGAGTGTTTGTCCCGTTCTGACCATAAAGAAAAGTTTAACCTTCACTCAGGAACAAAAATCAGCCTTTAAACTTGACAAATAATTTAACAATTATCCTGATAATGATCGATATCGAAAACAAACCAAGTCTCTCCAAACTTCTCAACTCCTGTTTTCTGCACATTTATCAGAGCAGTGTTTTTACAGAACTTCAAACGTTCACGCCGCTCTCTCCTGACGTATCTTTCTCCACGTTTCACGTTGCTGCCTCAGATGCTTCACTAAATCAGAGGTAGAATTGTTGTTTTTTGCTGCTCACATTTATTCATTTATCTGACGCTTTTATCCAAAGCGACTTACAGCTGCTCTACATGTCAGAGGGCAACAAGGGGTTAAGTGTCTTGCTCAGGGACACAGTGGTGGATGTCTTACAGTGGAATCCATTGCGCCACCACCTTTGCTCACACAAAGTTTACATCTGACGACAAAGTTCTTTACATCTCAGACTGTGATGGTGATATTTCCCATCAGGTCCGGCTTTCTGAACTGTCTCTGAGCTGCCGCGCAGTCGTGCGTTCACGTCAAGGACACCGAAACAACTTTCAGTTAACGCAGTGTTACCTGGGTGACTAACTGTAATATTATTATTACTGTGGTGGAAACACCAGTTACTGAGTAACAGCTGATGTTACATTTCATTTGTTAACTGTGAATTTATCACATCTAGTCCATGCATTTGTTACTTCTAGGCTGGATTACTGCAATTCCTTATTAACAGGCTGCTCGAAAAAGTCCATTAAGACTCTTCAGCTGATCCAGAATGCTGCAGCACGTGTTCTGACAGGAACCAGGAAAAGAGATCACATTTCTCCTGTTTTAGCTTCTTTGCATTGGCTTCCAGTAAAATCCAGAATAGAATTTAAAATCATTCTTCTTACCTACAAAGCTCTTAATGGTCAGGCACCATCTTATCTTAAAGAGCTCATAGTACCTTACTACCCCACCAGAGCACTGCGCTCCCAGAATGCAGGGTTACTTGTGGTTCCTAGAGTCTCCAAAAGTAGACTAGGAGCCAGAGCGTTCAGCTATCAAGCTCCTCTCCTGTGGAACCAGGTTCCAGTTTGGGTTCAGGAGGCAGACACCATCTCCACATTAAGAGTAGGCTTAAGACTTTCCTCTTTGATAAAGCTTATAGTTAGGGCTGGCTCAGGTGAGTCCTGAACCATCCCTTAGTTATGCTGCTATAGGCCTAGACTGCCGGGGGATTTCCCATGATGCACTGAGCTCCTCTCTCCTCTACTTTCTCTCCCTCTGTATGCAACCTCATCCCATTATTGCATGTTACTAACACAACTTCTCCCCTTTCTGGTAGTCTTGTGCTTTCTCGTCCCTCTCCTCTCTCCTCCTATCACTTCCTGCAGGTTTTCTGGCTCTGGAGCTGTGGAGTCTGGATCTGTGGTTGCGGGTCACCTGCTGCCCCCGTGTTCCTGCTCGACACCCTCTGCTGCAACGACTATTGTTGCTAGTCCTATTGTTATTATTGTTATTATAATCATTAACATTACGATGGTTACCATTAACACTATTATAAATATCTGTACCATTTTTCATTTAGTCTATAGCAACATCACCTTTACTGTGTGTACCTCTGTGTGGATATTGTGTAGGCTGCCTCCCCCCCCCCCCCCCCCTCTCCCTCCCCCGCTCTTTATGAAAAGCGCTGTGAGACAACTTGTTGTGATTGACGCTATATAAATAAAACTGAATTTGAATATCAAATAAATATTTCTGAGTTAAAGTTCATTTTGGTTTTAAACTTTCCTTCCTGGTCAGAACTTGATCACGTGACGCCAAACAGCGGATCAATGATCAAATCCGACACATTCATTAAGAACCCGATTCAGCTCCACCCGTTACCATGGTAACACCTCAAACAGCTGGGAGGTGTAACGCGCAGGTAAATAAACTAAAATAACTTCCTGTTTTGCTCATTACCGATACCTGGTGACCGGAAGTGCGGAGGCTGAGCTGCCGTTCGGGTTATCGATTACACCCACACGCGCCCTCTAAACACATACGTGGCACATCCTGAGACGCGCTAGCTGGTGCTAACGGCGCTAGCCTACCTGTTGCTCCAGATGCCGTAGGTGAGCTCCACGAAGGCGAAGGACAGGTTCAGGCAGAGGAAGAAGAACAAGTTCCGGGACGTCTTATCCGCGAGGATCGACCTGAAAACACACAGCAGTCAGAGAAGGTCCGGCACCGGAGCCAGAACCGGGACTGAGCCGGGTCAATAACAGCCCGCCGGGCACGTGCACACTTCCAGCACACCGTCAGAGAGCAGATTAGCACCTGACAGCGCGAGGAAACACCTTTAATGAAGACACGGGGACAGGAAGTGGTCTGTTTGGGCTAGCCGGTTAGCATCGGGCTAGCAGCTTAGCGTCAGAGTCAGCTGGCTGTGAGTTAGCCGCGGTTAGCTCAGTTAGCAGTTAGCACAGGTGAGCTTACCTGAACCATCCCGAGAGCTTCAGCAGCAGGTTGAACTTGGCGGGTTTGTACTCGTCGTCTTTAATAGATAAAGGTAACATTTTCACACCTGAACTCGCGCACACACACACACACCGGACAGACCTAGCTACGGGATGCTAACGTCAACTTCCGGTCTGCTCGGGTTTCACAATAAAGGCGTTTCAGAAGCGCTTCCGGTACTCAAACACTGACCGATAATACTACTGAGAATACTACTACTACTACTGAGAATACTACTGAGAATACTGAGAATACTACTGAGAATACTACTGAGAATACTACTGATACTACTGAGAATACTACTGAGAATACTACTACTACTACTACTGAGAATACTACTGAGAATACTACTACTACTACTGAGAATACTACTGATACTACTGAGAATACTACTGAGAATACTACTACTACTACTGAGAATACTACTCAGAATACTACTACTACTACTGAGAATACTACTGATACTACTGAGAATACTACTGAGAATACTACTACTACTACTACTACTGAGAATACTACTTATACTACTTGTTGAGCAGTCGTGCGCAACCTTCCCGTTAATGCGTCCGGATGTTAAGCAAGACTTCAGCCATTATCTCTCTTTAGCCTGTTTGACTGGCAGATTAATTAAGAACACTTCACATCTCGTCACCAGGCAGAGACGGACGGCTGCGTAACACAGAGCGTAGTGACATCACATCAGGACGTAACAAGTTTTACTATCGTAATACATCGAGTAAGGGCGCCATCAGATAGTAACACTGAACAACACTTAACATACTATTACTTCTGATACTATTTACTGCTAATACTACCACTACTGATAATACTACTACCAATACCATTAATAGTACTACTGATGCTATTAAGAATACGTATATATATATTTATATAGTAAAATATCAACACAGTTCTATGAGACTTTATTTGATGTTGAATTTGTATGTTTAATTGAATAAGGTATTATTTTTGTTGTTGTAATTCTGTGTTGTCTTTATTTATTGCAGACATGTTAGTGGGATTGTGATGAACTGAATGGAAACAAATAAAGTTTCTGAGATGAAATCCAAAGCTTTCTAAGTTTCTTTCGCTTATATCAAAATGAGGTGGTGACAGCTTTTCTTTTTCAGAGATCTGACATTTGATCTAAATATGATTTTATATTCAGATTTTTTTTTTATATCCCAGTTTTGTCTTGAAATAAAAGATAATTAAGATTTAGAGTGGACCTCCTGCTGCGACTACAACGAACCCTCGGCTGTCGGTCTGTGAAGACCTGAACTCAGACAGAACCAGGACTGTGAAGTCACCTCAGCAGCTGAGGAACCTGGAGAACCGTAAATACTGTAAAAACACAGCAGAAGGAAAGACTGTACTTTATATTTCATAACATCTATGTGACGTTTAAAGTTCCTTTTATTAGACATATTTTCCATCCAAAACAAAGCTGCAGGATGTTTACAGATTTATTAACTTTTATTTGTGAAATAGTTAAAGTCCGATCCACAGCTGTACTCTGTTTAGGCCTGCATGAAGTACATTTTACTTTTACTTCCTGCAGTGTGTACTACTCCTGTGGTGGAGTCTGTGGAGACTTTTAGCAGAAGTTGTGATTTCTTGGTGGTTTCCGGTATATTTCAAAATAAAAGCCTGCGGTCTGCTGGTTGTGTTGCCGTGGTGTGAGCAGCAGGGGGCGTCAGAGCACAGAGCTTCCACGGGGCCCTCCGGGAGCCTCTCAGGTCTGTTGACTGGCAGGAGGACAAAGTCTGAGCAGCAGCTGGGTTAAATTTCACTTCACTGTTTGTTCTGCGTTTCACAAAGTGTTTCACCAGTGTTTCCCCAGCGTTTCACAAAGTGTTTCCCCAGCGTTTCACAAAGTGTTTCACTAGTGTTTCACAAAGCGTTTCACAAAGTGTTTCCCCAGCGTTTCACAAAGTGTTTCACTAGTGTTTCACAAAGCGTTTCACAAAGTGTTTCACCAGTGTTTCACCAGTGTTTCACCAGCGTTTCACAAAGTGTTTCACCAGCGTTTCACCAGTGTTTCACAAAGTGTTTCACCAGCGTTTCACAAAGCGTTTCACAAAGTGTTTCACCAGTGTTTCACGAGCGTTTCACGAGCGTTTCACCAGTGTTTCCCCAGCGTTTCCCCAGCGTTTCACAAAGTGTTTCACCAGTGTTTCCCCAGCGTTTCACAAAGTGTTTCACCAGTGTTTCCCCAGCGTTTCCCCAGCGTTTCACCAGTGTTTCCCCAGCGTTTCCCCAGCGTTTCACAAAGTGTTTCCCCAGCGTTTCACAAAGTGTTTCCCCAGCGTTTCACAAAGTGTTTCACCAGCGTTTCACAAAGTGTTTCACCAGTGTTTCACAAAGTGTTTCCCCAGCGTTTCACAAAGTGTTTCACCAGCGTTTCACCAGTGTTTCACAAAGTGTTTCACCAGCGTTTCACAAAGCGTTTCACAAAGTGCTTCACCAGTGTTTCCCCAGCGTTTCACAAAGTGTTTCACCAGTGTTTCACGAGCGTTTCACGAGCGTTTCACCAGTGTTTCCCCAGCGTTTCACAAAGTGTTTCACCAGTGTTTCCCCAGCGTTTCACAAAGTGTTTCACCAGTGTTTCCCCAGCGTTTCCCCAGCGTTTCACCAGTGTTTCCCCAGCGTTTCCCCAGCGTTTCACAAAGTGTTTCCCCAGCGTTTCACAAAGTGTTTCCCCAGCGTTTCACAAAGTGTTTCACCAGCGTTTCACAAAGTGTTTCACCAGTGTTTCACCAGCGTTTCACCCGTGTTTCACCAGTGTTTCAGCAGCATTTCACAAAGTGTTTCACCAGCATTTCAGCAGCATTTCACCAGTGTTTCACAAAGTGTTTCACCAGCATTTCAGCAGCGTTTCACAAAGTGTTTCACCAGCGTTTCAGCAGCGTTTCAGCAGCGTTTCACAAAGTGTTTCACCAGCGTTTCACCAGTGTTTCACCAGCATTTCAGCAGCGTTTCACCAGTGTTTCACAAAGTGTTTCACCAGCATTTCAGCAGCATTTCACCAGCGTTTCACCAGGAAACACGGTCACAAATTACATGCCTTCAGTAAAACAAGATGAATATAAAGATCAGAGGATCAAACCTTCAGCCTGATGACAGGAAACAGCTGACTCATTGGTGAATAAAAAAACCCATGTAAACATCAGTCTGTCAGGGAGGGAACAAGGTGCCTTAGTGAGATGAGAGGGATCGCTCATCAGTTTCCATGGCAACCCCAAACCTCAGCGACCTCATCAGAAGCAGACGCCGACGCTCTATCAACAGCAGCAGCTCCGTCCTCCTCCACGCCGAGAGGCTCCCGCGGGTCTGTGCAGAGACAGGAAGTGGGAATGATTGGTCCGTTCGGAGACAGGAAGTGGGATTGATTGGTCGGTCGGAGGTCACTGCCGCTCGCTGTCGAAGTGAACCACAGGTCTGAAGAGAAACATCCGGAAGCAAAAGTGGAAGTGCTCAGTCAGTGTGTTCACAGGTCAAGGTCACGTGTAAGTTCATGTAGAGGCAGAAACGTTGGAGGCGGGGCTCCGTTCCTTCCTCTGAAAGCTGCTCAGCGGTACACGAAGCGAAAACATTGCGGACCCACAGGAGCTTCCGCCGCCGAGCTGGCTAACTTCCTGTTTAGCCCTCTGTCAATTTCAGTGGGGGTAAAATGATGTAATGTTACTGGACCGAAGGGATCAAACTCTGACAGTGAAACGAGTCGCAGCGGTTACTGTGACGGGAGAGTAGCATGTGGCTGCAGTACCGGAGGCTGCAGATTCAGGACCCCCGCAATCCTGGGACCGCAGTTCTTTTGCGACAGCACCATCTAGTGGAGTGGTGGTTGTAATGCACAGCAACGCGAAGGAGGTTAACCGGTCGACATGCGTATCATCAATAACTTTATGCTCACACTCGGTGATGGTTGAGGTCAGGTGATTCGGCGGGCTGTCAGGAGTAACACAGCCAGCTGGCCGTATCAAAGTAAACAAGGGTCCTAGAAATGCAGGTCTGGTCCCAGGATTGAGGGGGTCCTGAAACTGCAGCCTCCGGTACTGCAGCTACATGCTACTCTGGAAAATGTCTTTGGAGCGCCGTGCAACACGTCACGACCCGTAAGTTCTAATTTCACGGTTTGGCCACTGTGTCACATTGGCTTCCCCGTGAAGGTCAAGAGCAGGCGGCCATGTTGTGGCGTTCTGCCCGTCAGTGTCTCTTCTCTCTCTGATGGATCATCTTCAGACCAAAGTTCAGGTTCTATATGGTCTCCGGCTGGACCACAACTCAGCTCCTTTAACCCTTTAACAGCCGCCGTTTGCCCCGCTGCTTCCTCTTTAACGCAGAGTTCACATTCTTCAGGTCAGTCTTAAAATAACAGTCACATGACCAGAAGTCGTTCATAAGGTGACAGCTGGTCTTATCTGGTTTGGGTTCTGGTCCAGAACTGAGACTGGGAACAAGACAAAGACCAGACAAAAAGACTAAAAGCAGGATAAAGACAAAACCCAGGACCAGGTCCAGTATATGTCCGCTGGTTCCGTTCCTGGTTCTGAGAGGACGAAGACTATGGTCTCTGAAAGCTGCTGACGGAGCCTCTTCACTAAACAAAGAGCCCCATCTTTTGCTCTCGGACAGGAAATACCAGACGGTTAAAATGACAAGACGCAGCAGAACGCAGTGTCCTCTCTTACACAACAGAGGTCAGAGGTCACAGAGGCCTGGCGGGACACTGAACGCCTCACGAGTGGAAAAACAGCAGATGGAGCAGGAACACGTGGATCAGCACTTTCAGCTGGCTTCGGGGCTCGGATGGAGGGAAGAACGGACTCGTTTGACCTCTGAACTCTGAGGAGGTTAAATTTACCAACGGACGCGTCAATCTGAGAGGATCCACATTCGCACCTCACATCTGAAGCCTGGTCTCCATGACGACGGGCTGAGGAGCCAATGAGCTTTGTGGCGAAGACAAAAAAAACATTTAATTAATTTATTCGTTAACAAGCTCAGAGGATCCATGAGAGGGACGGGCAGAGAGCCAGGAAGTAGACTGATCCCACAACTTCTCTGGTCCAGTGGACTCCTGAACCGCTGCAGGTTTTGGTTTTAGGATCTCAGGCCCCCTTTTTTTTAGTGGAAGTCACTCCTCAGATCTCTGTCCCTGATCAACAATGAGAGAAGACATTCACTCATGTGGCTTTTATCCAAAGCGACTTCTGTTTGAGGAACAACAAACAAACATCAGCTGGATCCTGCATTTATTCACTTCTCTACATTTACCTGTTTCAACAGCTGTTCTCTGATTACAGTTGTGTATTTTATGGGTTTTATTATCTGTACCTGACTGCTACTTTAATTTATGATGAATCAAGTTTGAACTAGTGTTGTAGTCTAGACCGCCCAAACCGAGACCGAGCCGAGACCAAGACCGGTTCCCCACATTACCTGACACACAATAACATGTGGAACCAGATCACAGGTGCTTCTGGTTAATCTGAAAGATCCGCATCCCCATTAAAACCCCCACAAACACTAAGAGCTGAAATCAACTCAAGCCTCTTTATTCAACACTGCTTCTCCATGGTTACCATCGCAGGAGGGTTGGGGGGTTACCGTCGCTAACGGTAACAACACATTTTTAATTAGGGTCATTGGTTTAATTTGAAGCAACACGTTTTACATTCATCAAAGTTAGAATGTTAACAAATAAATCAGACGATGCAAAACCAGTTTATTGATATTCCCAAAGTTATGGTCTTGAAATAAAGTCCTGAGTCCTTAATGTCCGAGACCGTGTCGAGACCAAGACCATCAGAAAGGGGTCTCGAGTACTACAACACTAGTTTGAACTACAAAGTACAAAAAGTGGCTGTTCACATCAACCCTATTACACAAAGTACAAAATGCTGTTTAGTCCGTTCCTGCTCGGACCTGTAAACATCACGACATCACAACCTTTCCTCCAGCGCCGCCATCAGGAGCCAAAGCCACCCACCTCCTGGAGGCTTTGTTTTACTTTCTGTCTCCCTGTTCGGCTTCAGCGAAGTGTTAAACTCCCAGCAGCCTTTCTCCCTCTCCTGAAAAACAAACCGCCTCTTAAAGCGAGTCTCCAGGCCTGAGGCGTCACCATGGAAACAGACCGAGGTGTCCTGCAAACTTCCAGTAAACAGCGAGTGTGAGAGAAGAGAAAGGGAAAGCTGCTGAGCTCCGGCTGAATAACTGGAAATTCCCAGGGAAATAATCCAAGAAGCTCCCGGTTGAGGGGGCAGAGTAAGGAAATAAATATCTTTATTAAAAGAGAAAATTTACATTCATCTCACACACAAGCAGAAACACAAGCAGAAAGCACGTGCTTCTGAAGCTGAAGGTGTTCCAGCCTTAAAGAGGCAAAGCATCAAGTTCATATGTCACATAGTATAGAGGGCGCGTGCTGGGAGGAGGTGTTGTGACTGTTGGTAGCACAGCGCCGAGCCGGCCGGGACGTTCTGGAATGATGAAACCAAGCGCTGGAATCTGGTAGCCGAGTGTTACAGAAACAAATTTGGGTGCCAGGTAGCAACATGTGTGGGTATTAGGAAGTGTTGGAACACAGTCACATCTTGGGGGGGGGGGGGGGGGGGGGGGCAGCAGTCAGCTGATCACATGTCACTCACGTCTTGCAAATTAGCAGCCGCCAGCTGGGAGGTGGTAGCCACGTGTTAGCATGTCACAGCCATGTGTCAGGACTCGGTAGCTGCACATTAGGAAGCGGTAGCCACACACTGAGACGTGAAAGCCACATGTTGTATATCAAAGCCACGTATTAGAACATGGTAGCCACATGGGGGACGGCGGTAGCCCAGGGTCCGCGTCAGGCTGACGGAGGCGCAGACTGCGGCAGCTGATAGAAGCCTTTCTTCCTGGATCTCCTCAGGTAGTCCAGGAGCAGCGCAGCAGCCGCTAGCCCGGCGGCAACGCAGAAGACTGGGACGGCGATGGCGCCGAGGCTGGGGGGACGGTGGGTGCTCCTCTCTGCAGGAAGTGAGACAAAGACTTCAGAATAAAAGAAAACATTTTCCATTTCAACACTTTAACAAAAGAAATAAGATTAAATTATAATAATGAGGTTAAACTTTGGGACCTCTGACGCTGATGCTGAAGACTTGGACCTGGTACCCGAGGTCGTTGGTCACGTTGACCTGGTAAAGCCCGGAGTCTCTGGCTGTGACGTTGACCAATAGAAAGGTGCCGTTGGGGGAGTACAGCTCCGTCCCATTGGTCAGCTTCTTCAGCACCACGGCTGCCGGCGGGAAGCTGATGGTTTGGCAGCACACGGTGACATTCTGTCCCTCCTGGACCACCGAAGACGGCAGGATGAGGACCGTGGTGTTCCTCGGAGGAGCTGGACCACAAGAAACCAGATTACGGTCAGAGGCAGAACCCGGTCACGTGATTCTCATTTAGACATAAAGGACGTCACGTGGTGCAGTGGCGGCGGGAACATCAGGGCTCCGCACACGAGAACAAGACGAGACGAGACTTTAATATATCCTGCATTCAGGACACGTCTCTCTCTACACTAATGATTTCATCTACACTAAAAGTCCAAAACCCAAAGAGAGTCTCTGGTCTGAGAAGCTGAAACCAGGAGAACAACAAAGAATCAGGACTGATGCCGTTTCATCTTCAGCAGCCTAAACCCTCACATTTATACTCGCGTGTTGGCGTCTGCGGCGCTCTGCAGGTGGAATCTGGGCCTGAACTTCACCAAGGCTGCGTTAATATTTCATGCCAGCAGATATATTTTATATCTTGGCTTTTTGAAAAATGTATTTCTGAATTATTTTACAGCAACATGTTGAATAACAACACGCAGGCTTCTTGGACTAAAACTATTAAAATCAGAGAGAGTTCAGTTCCAGCTCTGCAGTCACACCGCCAACATGCTGGTTAGCGTTATGGCGTCGGCTGCGTTGACCGTGCGGCTCTTCTGGACTTTTCAAATGTTATCCACCGAATGGATTAAACTCTGAAACACGTCGACTGTGTTCCAGCCGCTGGTTTGGCTGCAAGTTAAACTGGCTTCACAAAGCGCTCCCACTTCCTGGCAGCTCAGAGGAAACGATGCCACGAAGCCGACCAATCACAGTTCTTGCGGTCTGCGTCGCTGCGATGTGTAGTTAGAGTTTTGGGGGCGCAGGGTACGGCCGGAGACGTTACTTTACGATGGCTATGACAACCCTTTTAACAATTTTCCTAAACTCTTAACACAGTTTGCACAACATCCGTCTGCGCAGGCTTTACAATTAACTCGTTTCCTGTTGCTTTGACACAAAATGCAGTTTCTAACAGTTTACACAAATTTACAATGCTTGAACTTCTTTTCCACACAAGCTCAGCCAAGATCAAAACGATGGATTTTTACTGCATGTCAGAACAGATAACACCTTGTTCTAAAGCTAACTTATAGTGTGACTTGAAACACGCGTATATATATTTTAGGTCTGCAAATAGATCAGTCACAGCTGATTCCCATCTAGGAAACACACTCAGGTGTTCCTTCAGTTGCATGACCATGTGGTCTAATCTTGTGTGGAAAAGAAACAATACAGAGCAACACAAAGGAAGTCAGGAAAATGCCTGCACGAGGGAGAGGAGTCAGAATGTGCGGTGGTGCTCAAAGAAGGGCCCGAGCTGTGGTCACTGATGAAATAAGACCACGTCATAAACCACGGCTATCATACAGAGAGCTGGTGAACCAGCGCAGACACAGAAGCCAACAGGTTCCTCCTACTGCAAACTTTAAATAACTTTACCATGTAGTGCAGTGACTGTATGCTTCCGGTCCTAACATGGAACTGATTCAATGTCTACCTCCCTCAGGGGGCACCGGAACGCTCCTGAAGGAAGAACAGGAACTCGCTATTGTTAGTCCAGAGTTGTGGAGGACAACCTGGTCTTTGGAACAATGCAGCGTAACATCCATTTCATCTAGCTAAACACAGTCCCAATGAAACAACTGCGAGCGCATCAAGGAACTCCGTCGCCGATGCGTCCAGGTAAGGTCATTACTGTACTACGCATCGTGTGTCTTCCAGTAAACTACTCCATAAAGCTGAAGTGCAGTAGGACATACAGCAAAGCATTTACACATTCAGAGATCAAGTCCCACATGAAATGATCTACGTTGACGAGGCTGGCTTTAACTTGGCGCAGCAGAGGAGCCAACATCGCATCTCTTTTCTTTGGCATTTCCTTCGAGTTCAGTCTGTTATTATTCTTATTCACTATATATCGTATGTTATAATGTTTCATTGCTTTATTGCTGCTTTTACCGTGTGAGAAGTGTGCTATATAAATAATACTGATACTGCAACAACGGTCCACTCCTGTATGAATGTGAGATTGGCCCCTACAACACCGACCGCCTTCTCCTGGTTTTAGAAGACCTGTATGAAAGACAGGCGCTAGAGGCAGAAAGGGGACAGGTGGGAGACCAGGTGCCGATATACGTGATCACAAGGGACAAGCGGCGTTCCAGCATCCCCGTGCAGTCACAGCCTGCTTTTCCTCAACCCCACTGAGGAGTTCTTCTCAGCCTGGAGATGGAGGGTTTATGACCAAATGTCCCTCCTGCATGCAGTGGACGCTGCGTGCCAAGACATCACAGCTGAACCCTGCCTGGGGTGGATAAGCCGTGCCAAGAGATTCTTCCCAAGATGCCCTGAGAGCAGATATCAGGTGTGATGTGGACGGGAAGACGTGGCCAAATGCAGAAGACCGGGCGGATTAGAATCTGACTTTGTTTCTGTGGCATATTCTGTTTGAATATTTTGTCTCACACTGCAATATAATAATACTGTCAGTTTTCTTGCACGTGGAGCCTTTACTGCAACGATCCTGTCTTTGTATTTTTTATAAACCGATGGGTCATTCATCTTTTAGGAAACAAAACAAATTTACTAAACTCACACTCAACATTTACTGCAGTGCAAAGCAGAATCTGTGATCTGTACAATACAGCGTCTCTTGTTTCAGCAGCAGACCTGACACATTTAAATAATGCAGTTTCTGTCCACTGGGCTACGACCGGCTGAAAGAGAACGTGTGTTTTGGGAGATATAGTGTACTGTGTCACTGTATTATTGCATTTTGAAAATGAGTGTTGGAGTTTAGTTTTAACTGTTCTGCCAGTTGTGCTCAGACCTCTTGTTATTAACTTTAAATCACGTCTCCGACCGTCAGTTCTGTTTCTGAGCGTCAGTCCTGCTGCCGCCGGCAGACGACCTCATGTTCGTGTATTTAAAGGAGGGAAACACAGGCAGCTGTAAACTGTCATGTGACGACCTGCTGAGCCGACCCCGTTGACCTTTAACCCAACACTTCACCACCTGATATGGAGCGTGCATGTTTGTGCTTTTTTAATAAACTTCATGTCTGAAAAACATTCTGTCCCATTAAAACCTTTTTTAATTTGAATCTTTCAGATGAAGCGAAAGATGAATTTCCTGGAAACAGACGTGCCTGGAGGAGGTGGACAGCGGCCGCCGTCAGAGGAGGTCTGCGTCTGGTCAACATCAGCGTCTGACACATTACTCAGCAGGAAGGTCAGAGTTTATTTCTCACCGCACTCAGCGTCATGTGAAGGAGTCAGATAAGAGAAGCAGAAGAGGAGCTGCAGGAGGACTGAGGGAGTCCTGTCAGGACCTGGTCCTGGGTCCACTTCATTCTACCAAACTGCTGCCAACGAAACTACAGCTGAACAACGGAAGTGTTTGCAGCCGAGGACGACGTGAAGATTCATCAGGATAATTCTGATGATTATTAAGCAGGAAATCTCCAACACGCCCTCGTTTATTCATCTCTGTATGAAGCGTTCAGGATCCATCAGCTTTCTTTAGTGTCAGAACGAGACACAGAGAGAGCTTTAGCTTCAGGCTAACGTTAGCAGTTCAGCCCCCCCCATGTCAGACCCCTTGCCGTCACTTTTTAACGCCCTGGGTACCCTTTAGCGTTTAGGGCTCCGTGGACTCTTTAAAATGAAACTAGTTGTTAATGTTGTGAAACGCTGCAGTTTGGTCAGGATTAGGCCAAAATTAAAACTTAACGGAACGTCACTAAAAACATTCAGTGTTGACTTTTAGTTTCAGACGGAAACGAACGCCGGCCTCTGGGTGGAGGGTCCGGTTCCTCTGACTCTGTGAAATGTCCTACACCTGCGTCCTGCATTATCAAAACACTGACGCCAACGGGTCTTGACCACACGTCCATATGAAGACGGCTTGGTTCCCTCTTCAGGACCAACAGGAAATTACAACCTTCTGGGGGTTTAAGGGTCGTCAGTGCTTCTACAGTCTCGCTGCTGTAAAGATCAACGAGCCTGAATTTACTTTGGAGTGATTTACTTTCTTCCCATCAAACCTCCACATAAAGAGAGCTGCTGTCAAACACAGCTGCTCGTTTCTTTGTGTCGGAGCGACGTCTCACTCCGTTCATCTGTGACTCGGTCGGACTCGACGCTTCTGAGCTTTTAGTCCTGGTTTCTCTTCCAGTTTGATTTGTCTCGAGTTCCTCGCTCGGGTTCTCTGAGCTCGTGTTGTGAGCAGAGAGAGGAGACGGGTGTTGGAGGAAACTCTCGGCTCTTTAATCTCTCAGGAAGCTGCAGATAAAAACTGAACTGACACTGAAAGATGTGATGAAGCGGCGACAGCGCCTGAAGACAGGAAGTGAAAGTGAAACTAAAGATCGGCACCTCTGACGGTGATGGAGCTGTTGACCCTCTGGGACCCGTACTGGTTGGACGCTTCGCACTGGTAGTGGGCGGAGTCTTCCAGCAGGGCGGAGGAGAGGCTGAAGGAGAGCGAGGAGGAGGTGGCCCTCTGAAGCTCCGCCCCCTCCCTCCTCAGCACCAGCGTGGCGGGCGGAGCTCCGTCTGAGCGGCAGGTAACCGTCACCTGCTGACCCTCCACCACCTCCTCACCTGGACTCACTGAGATGGAGGTTCCCCTCGGAGGATCTGAAGCAGAAACAAGAGTGAGCTCATGAGTGACATCATCTCTCACCTAACTCTCCTCTCAGCCAATCAGAGAGCGGCTGAAAAATGCAGAGACACTCACAGTGGACCTGCAGGGGGACGCTGGTCCTCCTGGACCTCCACACGTCTCCGTCCTCCCTCAGCAGCTCGGCGCCACAGGTCAGGACCAGCTGCTCCTCCTCGACCCGGTGCCGAAGAACAGACGAGACGTTCCGCAAGGAACCGGAGAAGCTGAAGGACTCCGACCTCAGCGTCGCGTTCCCCGACAGCCACCGGATCCTCATCTGATTGGCTGAGAAGACGTTGCTGACATCACAGTGAAGGACCGCCTCCTGACCCAGCAGGACAGGACCAGGATCCTCCAGAACCGGATCAGAGGGAAACGCTGGAGAGAAGAAAAACACAGCAGACGTTCACGCAGCTGATCGATCAGCCGATCGGCTTCAGACTCTGCGGGTCGGGCTGCAGGGACGTTCGGCCCGGCGGCGTTACAGCCGAGCAATAAAACAATCATCATGATTATCAACAACATAACAAAACAATGTTTGATTTCATTCATTCGGGTCACTTCATTTTTAAAGATGTTGCTTTTGTTTTTTCTCCTAAACGTTCTGACTGTTTGGCATCAAGAGTTCGTTCTGAAGAAAAGTTTAAAACCACGTTAACTTTCACTCAGCAGAAACTCTTTTCTGTTTCAGCAGCTTCGGCCTGATGTTCAAATTAAACTCTGCCTGTCTCTGCTGCGGGGGAGGATTTGGCCGCTCTCCCCCTGTTGTGTCACTTCCTGTCAGAGGGAGCGTTGGAGTCAGTCCTCCTCGGTCCAGATTAAAGACAGATCTTTGTCAGGAAGTGTTCCTGCTCTCTGGATCAGCAGCAGAACAGCAGAGTGAGGACCTTCGCCCTCCCTGCCAACAGAAACAAATCTCTCCAAACACACAGCAGCTCCGACTGAAGTCCAGGACACCCCCGCCCTCCCGCCCCCCCGGCCCCCGCAGAGACCTGCAGGAATGTCTCAATATCAGATTTAATCCTGATGATTCAGGTCCTGATTGTTTTTCCTCTGATTCAAAACAGAGCCGAGAGTCTGCAGATAAAACTCCTCCGACCTGCTGGCTTTTCTTCATCAGACAGGAAGTCAGCAGAAAGATTAAAATACTCCTTAAAATAACACAAACTAACTCATCCCAACTCATCTGAACCCTCAACTCTGCCTTCATTCACAAACACTGAACTCCCACTCAGAGGTTCTCAGATGACCAGCAAGGGTTAATAAAGGAGGTCTGACTTCATACCACCTTAAACTCAGACCTTTCTGAGTTCTGTGTGTAAACTCAGGGGAAGTTAATTAATGAAGGACGTCTGAAATGAAGGGATGTCAGGAGACCCGATACTTCAGCACCAAGTCAATCCCAAAACCCTGAAAACATGTCTGCACTCGTTCTGCTGCGGTCCCGACGGTGCCGGGGACCCAACACGTGGAGGACAGCGACCGGTGCTGCTGCGGCGGCTCGTGTTTAGAAACCACGTGACGTGAGATTCCTTCAGCAGCTCTGTGTCAAAGCCCGGACTTCTCCCAGCTGGAGAAATCACTAAAATCACCGCCTTTTTTCACCTACGTCATATTTCGAAAATCAGAAACATCCTGTCTAAAAATGATGCAGAAAAACTAGTCCATGCATTTGTTACTTCTAGGCTGGATTACTGCAATTCCTTATTATCAGGCTGCTCGAAAAAGTCCATTAAGACTCTTCAGCTGATCCAGAATGCTGCAGCACGTGTTCTGACAGGAACCAGGAAAAGAGATCACATTTCTCCTGTTTTAGCTTCTTTGCATTGACTTCCAGTAAAATCCAGAATAGAATTTAAAATCATTCTTCTTACCTACAAAGCTCTTAATGGTCAGGCACCATCTTATCTTAAAGAGCCCATAGTACCTTACTACCCCACCAGAGCACTGCGCTCCCAGAATGCAGGGTTACTTGTGGTTCCTAGAGTCTCCAAAAGTAGACTAGGAGCCAGAGCGTTCAGCTATCAAGCTCCTCTCCTGTGGAACCAGGTTCCAGTTTGGGTTCAGGAGGCAGACACCATCTCCACATTTAAGAGTAGGCTTAAGACTTTCCTCTTTGATAAAGCTTATAGTTAGGGCTGGCTCAGGTGAGTCCTGAACCATCCCTTAGTTATGCTGCTATAGGCCTAGACTGCCGGGGGATTTCCCATGATGCACTGAGCTCCTCTCTCCTCTACTTTCTCTCCCTCTGTATGCAACGACTATTGTTATTATAATCATTAACACTACTATAAATATCTGTACCAGTTTTCATTTAGTCTATAGCAACATCACCTTTACTGTGTGTACCTCTGTGTGGATATTGTGTAGGCTGCCTCTCTCGCTCTCTCTCTCTCTCTCCCTCTCTCTCTCTCTCTCTCTCTCGCCCACCCTGAGTCATGGTTCTGCTCGAGGTTTCTGCCTCTTAAAGGAAGTTTTTCCTTGCCTCTGTCTCCTAGTGAGTACGGTCTAGACCTGCTCTTTATGAAAAGCGCTGTGAGATAACTGTTGTTGTGATTTGGCGCTATATAAATAAAATTGAATTTAAGATGGCGATACAGTTTGCAGCTCTAAGAGCTGAACGTCTGTCGAACGCTGCTGTCACTGAGTCTGAGAAGGTCAATACGTCCGTCTCTCAGACGGAGACACATTTCACACCGAGAGACTGTAAAGTTAAGAAAGTGAATGAATTCACTTAATAATTAAATAATCAGAGTGCAGGTGGTACTTTGTGACGTCCTCTCTCTCACAGTGTTAGTTGAGCCCGTTTTACTGGTACCCACTACAGAACCTCTGGTATGGTGGACTCTGGTTCTGGTACTGAAACAGCTGATGAGTTCAGTAAACTCAGGATGAACTATGGGGTTCTGGTTCCAGTGGAACAGAACACAGTTTCACCTGGTCTCATTATTCTGATGTTGTCCTCTCTGGGCCACCGTACCAAAGGGAGTGGGGTTAATAATGTCTCAGTGGACTCACAGTGGACGTGGACCTGGCTGTTTCCGGTCCTGATGACGGAGTCGCACTCGGCCTCGCAGCTGTATCCTCCCTGATCCTGGAGGTCCAGGTCCTGCAGGTGGAGCGGGACAGTCCGTCCTGCTGCTGCGTCCTCTGGAGGACGGTCCGGTCCCGGGCTGTAGTCCAGGTGAGGGAGGGGGGTTGGAGACACCCGGGCTCTGCAGGTCAGGACCAGACCTGAACCCCGCTCTGCTGCTGAGACCGGAGGACTCACCTCCACCTGCAGAGGGTGACCTGGCAGAACAACAGAACCGTTTACAGACTGAAATATTCATCCGTTCATCCTGATTTATATCAACAGGCTCGTTTATTTGTCTCTGTGCCGGCTGTTCAGACCCGGGTCCATCAGCGTCTCACAGGCTACTACTGCTGACGGAGTTTCATGAGGAGGGAAAAGTTCAGGAGTCGCTGAGCAGAGACACCTTCAGTCTAACGTTTGAACATTAGCGTGTTAGGAAGGAGAGAAGGGTCCCACTTCACTGAAGTACTGGTTTTAAGAAACGTGAGCAGAGACAGGAGACGGAAACTCTCGGCTCTTTAATCTCTCAGGAAGCTGCAGATAAAAACTGAACTGACACTGAAAGATGTGATGAAGCGGCGACAGCGCCTAAAGACAGGAAGTGAAAGTGAAACTAAAGATCGGCACCTCTGACGGTGATGGAGCTGTTGACCCTCTGGGACCCGTACTGGTTGGACGCTTCGCACTGGTAGTGGGCGGAGTCTTCCAGCAGGGCGGAGGAGAGGCTGAAGGAGAGCGAGGAGGAGGCGGCCCTCTGAAGCTCCGCCCCCTCCCTCCTCAGCACCAGCGTGGCGGGCGGAGCTCCGTCTGAGCGGCAGGTAACCGTCACCTGCTGACCCTCCACCACCTCCTCACCTGGACTCACTGAGATGGAGGTGTTGGTGGGCGGAGCTGTGGGAGGGGCAGACAGGTGGGTGAGAGGCTGGTGACAGGTAAACATGAAGGACACAACGAGGACACAACAAGGAGACAATAAGGAGACACCGAGGAGACACCAAGGAGACAATAAGGAGACACCAAGGAAACACTCAGAAGACAACAAGGAGACAACAAGGAGACACTCAGGAGACAATAAGGAAACACCAAGGAGACACCAAGGAGACAACAAGGAAACACTCAGAAGACAATAAGGAGACACCAAGAAGACACCAAGGAGACAACAAGGAAACACTCAGAAGACAATAAGGAGACACCAAGGAGACAACAAGGAAACACCAAGGAGACACCAAGGAGACAACAAGGAAACACTCAGAAGACAATATGGAGACAATAAGGAGACACCAAGGAGACACTCAGGAGACACCAAGGAGACACTCAGAAGACAATAAGGAGACACCAAGGAGACACACAGAAGACAATAAGGAGACACCAAGGAGACAACAAGGAGACACTCAGGAGACAACAAGGAAACACTCAGAAGACAATAAGGAGACACTCAGGAGACAACAAGGAAACACTCAGAAGACAATAAGGAGACACCAAGGAGACAATAAGGAGACACTCAGAAGACAATAAGGAGACACCAAGGAGACACCAAGGAGACACTCAGAAGACAATAAGGAGACACCAAGGAGACAACAAGGAAACACTCAGAAGACAATAAGGAGACACCAAGGAGACACCAAGGAGACAACAAGGAAACACCAAGGAGACAACAAGGAAACACCAAGGAGACACTAAGGAGACACCAAGGAGACAACAAAGAAACACTCAGAAGACAACAAGGAAACACTCAAGACAATAAGGAGACACCAAGGAGACAACAAGGAAACACTCAGAAGACAATAAGGAGACACCAAGGAGACAATAAGGAGACACCAAGGAGACACACAGAAGACAATAAGGAGACAACAAAGGAGACACTAAGGAGACACCAATGAGACACTAAGGAGACAACAAGGAGACACTCAGAAGACAATAAGGAGACACTAAGGAGACAACAAGGAAACACTCAGAAGACAATAAGGAGACACCAAAGAGACACTAAGGAGACAACAAGGAAACACTCAGAAGACAATAAGGAGACACCAAGGAGACACCAAGGAGACAACAAGGAAACACTCAGAAGACAATAAGGAGACACCAAGGAGACAACAAGGAAACACTCAGTAGACGTAGACAATAAGGAGACACAAGGAGACCCCAAGGAGACAACAAGGAAACACTCAGAAGACAATAAGAGACACTAAGGAGACACCAAGGAGACACTAAGGAGACAACAAGAAGACACCAAGGAGACACTCAGAAGACAATAAGGAGACACCAAGGAGACACACAGAAGACAATAAGGAGACAACAAAGGAGACACTAAGGAGACAACAAGGAAACACTAAGGAGACAACAAGGAGACACCAAGGAGACACTCAGAAGACAATAAGGAGACACCAAGGAGACACTCAGAAGACAATAAGGAGACACTCAGAAGACAATAAGGAGACAACAAAGGAGACACTCAGAAGACAATAAGGAGACACCAAAGAGACACCAAGGAGACAACAAGGAGACAACAAGGAGACACTCAGAAGACAATAAGGAGACACTAAGGAGACAACAAGGAAACACTCAGAAGACAATAAGGAGACACCAAGGAGACACCAAGGAGACACTCAGAAGACAATAAGGAGACACCAAGGAGACACTCAGAAGACAATAAGGAGACACCAAGGAGACAACAAGGAAACACCAAGGAGACACCAAGGAGACAACAAGGAGACACTCAGAAGACAATAAGGAGACACCAAGGAGACACTCAGAAGACAATAAGGAGACACTAAGGAGACAACAAGGAGACACACAGAAGACAATAAGGAGACACCAAGGAGACACCAAGGAGACAACAAGGAGACAACAAGGAAACACTCAGAAGACAATAAGGAGACACTAAGGAGACACCAAAGAGACACCAAGGAGACACTCAGAAGACAATAAGGAGACACCAAGGAGACACCAAGGAGACACTCAGAAGACAATAAGGAGACACCAAGGAGACAACAAGAAAACACTCAGAAGACAATAAGGAGACACCAAGGAGACAACAAGGAAACACCAAGGAGACACTAAGGAGACACCAAGGAGACACTAAGGAGACACCAAGGAGACAACAAAGAAACACTCAGAAGACAACAAGGAAACACTCAAGACAATAAGGAGACACCAAGGAGACAACAAGGAAACACTCAGAAGACAATAAGGAGACACCAAGGAGACAATAAGGAGACACCAAGGAGACACAGAAGACAATAAGGAGACAACAAAGGAGACACTAAGGAGACACCAATGAGACACTAAGGAGACACTAAGGAGACAACAAGGAGACACTCAGAAGACAACAAGGAGACACTAAGGAGACAACAAGGAAACACTCAGAAGACAATAAGGAGACACCAAAGAGACACTAAGGAGACAACAAGGAAACACTCAGAAGACAATAAGGAGACACCAAGGAGACACCAAGGAGACAACAAGGAAACACTCAGTAGACGTAGACAATAAGGAGACACCAAGGAGACCCCAAGGAGACAACAAGGAAACACTCAGAAGACAATAAGGAGACACTAAGGAGACACCAAGGAGACACTAAGGAGACAACAAGAAGACACCAAGGAGACACTCAGAAGACAATAAGGAGACACCAAGGAGACACACAGAAGACAATAAGGAGACAACAAAGGAGACACTAAGGAGACAACAAGGAAACACTAAGGAGACAACAAGGAGACACCAAGGAGACACTCAGAAGACAATAAGGAGACACCAAGGAGACACACAGAAGACAATAAGGAGACACCAAGGAGACACTCAGAAGACAATAAGGAGACAACAAAGGAGACACTCAGAAGACAATAAGGAGACACCAAAGAGACAACAAGGAGACAACAAGGAGACAACAAGGAGACACTCAGAAGACAATAAGGAGACACCAAGGAGACAACAAGGAAACACTCAGAAGACAATAAGGAGACACCAAGGAGACAACAAGGAAACACTGAGAAGACAATAAGGAGACACCAAGGAGACACCAAGGAGACACTCAGAAGACAATAAGGAGACACCAAGGAGACACACAGAAGACAATAAGGAGACACCAAGGAGACACACAGAAGACAATAAGGAGACACCAAGGAGACACACAGAAGACACCAAGGAGACACCAAGGAGACACCAAGGAGACAACAAGGAGACACTCAGAAGACAATAAGGAGACACCAAGGAGACACTCAGAAGACAATAAGGAGACACTAAGGAGACAACAAGGAAACACACAGAAGACAATAAGGAGACACCAAGGAGACAACAAGGAGACAACAAGGAAACACTCAGAAGACAATAAGGAGACACTAAGGAGACACTAAGGAGACACCAAAGAGACACCAAGGAGACACTCAGGAGACAACAAGGAAACACTCAAGACAATAAGGAGACACCAAGGAGACAACAAAGAAACACTCAGAAGACAATAAGGAGACACTAAGGAGACACCAAGGAGACACTAAGGAGACAACAAGGAAACACCAAGGAGACACCAAGGAGACACACAGAAGACAATAAGGAGACAACAAGGAGACACTCAGAAGACAATAAGGAGACACTAAGGAGACAACAAGGAAACACTCAGAAGACAATAAGGAGACAACAAGGAGACACTCAGAAGACAATAAGGAGACACTAAGGAGACAACAAGGAAACACTCAGAAGACAATAAGGAAACACTCAGAAGACAATAAGGAGACACTAAGGAGACACCAAGGAGACACACAGAAGACAATAAGGAGACAACAAAGGAGACACTAAGGAGACACCAAGGAGACAACAACGAAACACTAAGGAGACAACAAGGAGACAACAACGAAACACTAAGGAGACACCAAGGAGACACTCAGAAGACAATAAGGAGACACCAAGGAGACACACAGAAGACACCAAGGAGACACCAAGGAGACAACAAGGAGACACTCAGAAGACAATAAGGAGACAACAAGGAGACACTCAGAAGACAATAAGGAGACACTAAGGAGACAACAAGGAAACACTCAGAAGACAATAAGGAGACACCAAGGAGACACCAAGCAGACAACAAGGAAACACCAAGGAGACAACAAGGAAACACTCAGAAGACACTAAGGAGACACCAAGGAGACAACAAAGAAACACTCAGAAGACAACAAGGAAACACTCAAGACAATAAGGAGACACCGAGGAGACAACAAGGAAACACTCAGAAGACAATAAGGAGACACCAAGGAGACACCAAGGAGACAACAAGGAAACACTCAGAAGACAATAAGGAGACACCAAGGAGACACCAAGGAGACAACAAGGAAACACTAAGGAAACACTAAGGAAACACTCAGAAGACAATAAGGAGACACCAAGGAGACACCAAGGAGACAACAAGGAAACACTAAGGAGACAACAAGGAAACACTAAGGAGACAACAAGAAGACACCAAGGAGACACTCAGAAGACAATAAGGAGACACCAAGGAGACACACAGAAGACAATAAGGAGACACTAAGGAGACACCAAGGAGACACTAAGGAGACAACAAGGAAACACCAAGGAGACACCAAGGAGACACACAGAAGACAATAAGGAGACAACAAAGGAGACACTAAGGAGACACCAATGAGACACCAAGGAGACAACAAGGACACTCAGAAGACAATAAGGAGACACCAAGGAGACAACAAAGAAACACTCAGAAGACAATAAGGAGACACTAAGGAGACACCAAGGAAACACTCAGAAGACAATAAGGAGACACTAAGGAGACACCAAGGAAACACTCAGAAGACAATAAGGAGACACCAAGGAGACACCAAGGAGACACCAAGGAGACAACAAGGAAACACTCAGAAGACACTAAGAGACACCAAGGAGACACCAAGGAAACACTCAGAAGACACTAAGGAGACACCAAGGAGACACTCAGAAGACACTAAGGAGACACCAAGGAGACACCAAGGAAACACTCAGAAGACAATAAGGAGACACTAAGGAGACACCAAGGAGACACCAAGGAGATGGGTAAAGAAACAGGAGCTTCACTCTCACCGTGAACGATGACCTCCACAGCGGCGGTCTGGTTTCCTTCTGCGTTTTGGGCCTCACAGTCGTACCATCCGGCCCCAGACAGACTCACCGCCGGAAAGACCAGCTGACGGCCTCGACCCCGTGGCAAGGACCGCCCGCCCGCCGTCCTGAAGCTCCAGGTGACGCTCGGCTCGGGGTTTCCCTCCGCAGAACAGTCGAGAGTGAGCGGCGAGCCGGCCATCACCAACACAGAGTCTGGCATCACCGTGACGACGGGAGCGTCTAAAGAGGAGGCGGAGACAGAGACGGTTCAGTGTTTCCAGCTGTGAAATACTGCGGGAGGCGAGGGAGGAAATGAGATGAGGAGCGAGACACGGGTCGACATGTCTGCATTACAAAGGCTTTATTCTCATATTTAGAGTTTTGATTCCATGAGCTGCAAACCGTCAGCATCTGAAATATTTCACTTTATGTGGATGAACGCAGAATTTATCGAGGTTTCACTTTTGCAATTAAATTACAGAAAAAACAGGAACTTTTTTGCGACATTCAGGAGAATCGATGGTGGTGATGTACTGAAACCCCCAGACCCCAGACCTGACTGCGTCCCCTCAGCTACAGAGGGGAAAGAGGACTTCTGTTTCTCATGACTGAGTCTGTAAAGGTTTGGTGGGAGATTGGGAGATCAGAGGACTTGGACTCACAGAGCGGGTTTAGGGGGACGGTGGTCTCTCTGGTCCTGTCCTCAGCAGGCAGGTTCAGCAGTTCCAGCGTGGCCCTGCAGCTGATGTTTCGTCCCGAGTCCTGGTTCAGAGGGGTGAATCTGTATTCAGATTGGACTGAGCTGGAAACAGGATTTCCCACACTGCTCGGCAGGACGACGTCTCCTCTGATCCAGGTGAAGGTCAGCAGCTCGGCGGGGTAAACTTCAGACACCTGGCAGGTCAGGGTGGACTCCACCCCCAGTCTCAGGTGGTCCTGACCTGTGATCACAGGACCTGACGGGAAGGCTGGACCCAGCAGAGACATAGAGGACAGTAAGAGGTCCACAAGGGACAGACATGGACAGTTACACTGTGTGTGTTACAGTGTGTGTTACAGTGTGTGTTACACTGTGTGTGTGTTACAGTGTGTGTTACAGTGTGTGTGTGTTACAGTGTGTGTTACAGTGTGTGTTACAGTGTGTGTTACACTGTGTGTGTGTTACAGTGTGTGTTACAGTGTGTGTGTGTTACAGTGTGTGTTACACTGTGTGTGTGTTACACTGTGTGTTACAGTGTGTGTGTGTTACAGAGTGTGTGTGTTACAGAGTGTGTTACAGTGTGTGTGTGTTACACTGTGTGTCACACTGTGTGTGTGTTACACTGTGTGTGTGTTACACTGTGTTTTACAGAGTGTGTGTGTTACAGAGTGTGTCACAGTGTGTGTGTTACACTGTGTGTGTGTTACACTGTGTGTGTGTTACACTGTGTGTGTGTTACACTGTGTGTGTTACACTGTGTGTGTTACACTGTGTGTTACAGAGTGTGTGTTACACTGTGTGTTACAGTGTGTGTGTTACACTGTGTGTGTGTTACACTGTGTGTTACAGTGTGTGTGTGTTACAGAGTGTGTGTGTTACAGAGTGTGTTACAGTGTGTGTGTGTTACACTGTGTGTTACAGTGTGTGTGTTACACTGTGTGTTACAGTGTGTGTGTGTTACACTGTGTGTTACAGTGTGTGTGTGTTACACTGTGTGTTACACTGTGTGTTACAGTGTGTGTGTTACAGTGTGTGTGTGTTACACTGTGTGTTACAGTGTGTGTGTTACACTGTGTGTTACAGTGTGTGTGTGTTACACTGTGTGTTACAGTGTGTGTGTGTTACACTGTGTGTTACAGTGTGTGTGTGTTACAGAGTGTGTGTGTTACAGAGTGTGTTACAGTGTGTGTGTGTTACAGAGTGAGTGTGTTACACTGTGTGTGTGTTACACTGTGTGTTACAGTGTGTGTGTGTTACAGAGTGTGTGTGTTACAGAGTGTGTGTGTTACACTGTGTGTTACAGTGTGTGTGTTACAGTGTGTGTGTGTTACAGAGTGAGTGTGTTACAGTGTGTGTGTGTTACACTGCGTGTTACAGTGTGTGTGTGTTACAGAGTGTGTGTGTTACAGAGTGTGTGTGTTACACTGTGTGTTACAGTGTGTGTGTTACAGTGTGTGTGTGTTACACTGTGTGTCACAGTGTGTGTGTGTTATAGAGTGTGTCACAGTGTGTGTGTGTTACACTGTGTGTCACAGTGTGTGTGTGTTACACTGTGTGTCACAGTGTGTGTGTGTTACACTGTGTGTGTGTTACACTGTGTGTGTTACACTGTGTGTGTGTTACACTGTGTGTGTTACACTGTGTGTCACAGTGTGTGTGTGTTATAGAGTGTGTCACAGTGTGTGTGTGTTACACTGTGTGTGTGTTACACTGTGTGTCACAGTGTGTGTGTGTTACAGTGTGTGTGTGTTACACTGTGTGTCACAGTGTGTGTGTGTTACACTGTGTGTGTGTTACACTGTGTGTCACAGTGTGTGTGTGTTACAGAGTGTGTTACAGTGTGTGTGTGTTACAGTGTGTGTGTGTTACACTGTGTGTCACAGTGTGTGTGTGTTACACTGTGTGTGTGTTACACTGTGTGTCACAGTGTGTGTGTGTTACAGAGTGTGTTACAGTGTGTGTGTGTTACACTGTGTGTCACAGTGTGTGTGTGTTACACTGTGTGTCACAGTGTGTGTGTGTTACACTGTGTGTCACAGTGTGTGTGTGTTACAGAGTGTGTCACAGTGTGTGTGTGTTACAGTGTGTGTGTGTTACACTGTGTGTTACAGTGTGTGTGTGTTACAGAGTGTGTTACAGTGTGTGTGTGTTACAGAGTGTGTGTGTTACAGAGTGTGTCACAGTGTGTGTGTGTTACAGTGTGTGTGTGTTACAGAGTGTGTGTGTTACAGAGTGTGTCACAGTGTGTGTGTGTTACAGTGTGTGTGTGTTACAGTGTGTGTGTGTTACAGTGTGTGTGTGTTACAGTGTGTGTGTGTTACAGTGTGTGTGTGTTACAGTGTGTGTGTGTTACACTGTGTGTTACAGTGTGTGTGTGTTACAGAGTGTGTTACAGTGTGTGTGTATTACAGAGTGTGTGTGTTATAGAGTGTGTTACAGAGTGTGTGTGTTACACTGTGTGTTACAGTGTGTGTGTGTTACAGAGTGTGTGTGTTACAGTGTGTGTGTGTTACAGTGTGTGTGTGTTACAGTGTGTGTGTGTGTTACAGTGTGTGTGTGTTACAGTGTGTGTTACAGTGTGTGTGTGTTACAGTGTGTGTTACAGTGTGTGTGTTACAGTGTGTGTTACAGTGTGTGTTACACAGTGTGTGTTACAGTGTGTGTGTGTTACAGTGTGTGTTACAGTGTGTGTTACAGTGTGTGTTACAGTGTGTGTGTGTGTTACAGTGTGTGTTACAGTGTGTGTTACAGTGTGTGTTACAGTGTGTGTTACAGTGTGTGTGTGTGTTACAGTGTGTGTTACAGTGTGTGTTACAGTGTGTGTTACAGTGTGTGTTACAGTGTGTGTGTGTGTTACAGTGTGTGTTACAGTGTGTGTTACAGTGTGTTACAGTGTGTGTGTGTGTTACAGTGTGTGTTACAGTGTGTGTTACACAGTGTGTGTGTTACAGTGTGTGTGTGTGTTACAGTGTGTGTTACAGTGTGTGTTACAGTGTGTGTTACAGTGTGTGTGTGTTACAGTGTGTGTTACAGTGTGTGTGTGTTACAGTGTGTGTGTGTTACAGTGTGTTACAGTGTGTGTATTACAGAGTGTGTGTGTTACAGTGTGTGTTACAGTGTGTGTTACAGTGTGTGTTACAGTGTGTGTGTCTCAGTAGAAACTCACAGTAAACCTGCACCGAGGTTTTAATCTGCCTGTTCTGTCCTCCACAGCTGACTTTACACAGCAGGAGTCCCTCATGCTCCATCATCACGGGGTCAAAGGTCACCACGGAGTGAGTCCTGTTGGTGCTGACGGAGGCGGTCAGAGGCCGGTCCCCCATCAGGGACCAAGACACGATCGGCATCTCAGGACATTGCTGAACGTGGCACACCAGCTGCTGACGCTCCCCGAGTCTCAACAGAGGCCTTTTGGGAGACACGTCCACACCCAGACCCTGAACGCAACACGCTGACATCAGCAGTACAGCTGTGAAGGTAAACAACAACAACAACAAGACTAGTTTAACTCCCGTCCATCAACTCGCTGACAACACAGAGTTTACTGATGAGAGGAGGGCACCGCGTTTATTGATCATTTATAATCAATAAACAGGTCAGAAACAGACTTTAATAATATAAACGTCTTCACTGGAGAAGGTTTGATAAATAAACATTAAACACGTCATCAATCGTTACTTACATGTTTACAGGCCGATTAAATGCGATCAGTAAGTACAGAAGATGTGTGCTGATGAAACAATCAGCTGATCAGTCGGTTTGTCCATCAACAGAAAAAGAATTCCTCACTGATTGGTGTCAGTTTCTCTCTGTTTCTAAACTAAACCTTAATCAATCAGTCAAGAAACAATTAATGATTAATGATTAACGGCCCCTTAGTCACCAGGGGCCCACAGGGGTCACCAGAGGTCACCAGGGGCCAGCAGGAGCCCATAAACCATCAGGGAGTAAATATATAGATGGTGTTAGAGGCCCCTAAACCTCAGAACCTACATATCCTCCTGGCAGGAATGTGAATTTGCATGTTTCTGATTGGTAACGGCGGCATTTTGCTGATGACATCACGTTGTGTCGTCATACTGACTGGTCGAAGCTGTCCCTGGACGCAGCTCTTGATTGGACTGAGGATCAGATAAACTCACTACAGCAGCGTGGATCCCTCCGCCGCTGGAAGTAGTCCCAGCAGACGCGCTCTGTGGTCTCTTAGGGTCCCAGAAGTCCCCGTTCCACTGCTGCCTGGATCCGTTTTCAGTTTGGTTTTATTTTTTGGTCTCAGAGTTCTAATCTGAATAATCTGATCCTCAGACCAATCAAACGCTGCGTGCAGGACAGCTTTAACCAATCACAGCTCTCTCGCTCGTTTCAGCGGCATCAGTCTGACAGCAGCCGTGTCCAGTCAGAAACATGGTGATGGTGCAGTGGACACAGGGTTTTGGTGTGTGAGAGCAGTGTTCAGTTCCCACTGTGACCAACGTGTCCCTGTACAGCAGCTGAGTCGCTGAATGAATAAATGTACGATGACGCGGTGGATTTCTAATGACAACATGATCATCAGGAGGAGGTCGGTGACAGAACTCTGATGTTTGGAAACTGTCACGTAAAACCAGTAAAAAAATCAATCACTCAATACTAGTTCAGAGTTTCTCAACATCTGGCCGTGGCTCCTCGTGGGGTCACCTGAGGTCAGCACATTAAACTGCTGTCTGACAGGTTTATATTCTATATATGATTCTATACGCTTTAATGAAGATGAACGCGTTATCATCATCAGAAGCACCCAGACCATCACAATACAAACACAGAGACTGGATTTCACACCGGAGACAAAATAAAGATCTCACCTGCGAGCAGCCGGACAAAGATCCTGCAGACAGACGGCAGAGACATCTCACTCCTCTGAGGGTCTGAACACACTGATGAACAGCAGCGTCTCCTTTGTGTCCAGGTTTCACACTGATCACAAACAAACGCCTCTCAGCTGCTCAGCCTTTCTCTCTCTCTCTCTCTCTCTCTCTCTCTCTGTGTTTACCCAGGCTGCAGACCACAGCGCCCTCTGCAGGACGCACCTCAAACTGCACTGGACAACATTTCTCTTTCACTTCCATTGTTATTCCTCCTTCTCCTCTCTTTCACTTGCATTTTCATTATTATGATGGGAAACTTTGATCGGTTTAACTGTTTCCGGGTGTTTGTGATAAACTGATGAATCACTTCACTTTTAGACAGTTTTGGAAGTAATAAAGTGTTTTGTTTCTACTGGAGCCTCCGTCTTTCCTCATTATTCAAACTCTTTCAACTTTATTTTAAATTCTGATTGATTGACTGATTGATTGACTGTGTGATCACAGACTGAGTGCCTCCCCAGCTGGCATTCATCAGTCTGCTGAGTCACTGAGGAGGAGCAGTCATGTGACCACGCTCACTTTCACTTGATTAAACTGTGACAGGTGAAGAGGTTTCTGACCTTTGACTTCATGCAGACAGGCAGTGCGATGAGCAGCGAGGTCATGTGATCTCTCCCATCCTCTTCCTCCGGGTCCCTCTGCTCAGCAGGTGGACCCTGATCCGATGAACCACCTCAGCTGCTCAGAGCTCCTCCCCCTGAGGAGGAAGCTCATGTTGGCCACCTGATCTGGATCTGTCGGTCACCGTCCACAGCTCGAGACCAGGGGACCCGGTCGTAGTCAGTGACGCACATGTAGACTCAGGGCTCTACAGTGCGACCATTTTGCTCGCATATGCGCCTAAAAATCGAGACGTGGGAAGCAGAAAATGATTTACGAGCACAACGTGCGACTATCTACAACCTTGGATAGCCCAGCAGCTCGTTACAAAACAAAGACAGAGCTGCAGCAGCTGGAGCAGCGAGACACAAGACAGATAACGAGGACGTGGGTTTGGCGAGCTGAATATATCAGGCGCTTTTTGTTAACATCGATGTGCTCATCAGTTTCACTTTTCATCAACTGGCCAATCACAGTGAACTTTGAGACGTTGAACTCGTCCTGCATGACTGGTTCTGATTATTGATGAGATTAGTAGCATTAACAAATTAAGAGACCAGTGCGGGCAATTTTTCATGCACAAGGATTTAATGAATGAAACTGCTGGAATTAATATTAGCGCCTTCTAGTGGTGAGCTGTGTAGTGTACTGTTACATAAAATGACCCCACGCATACAGTAAAATGTAACTTTATCTACGGTCATTATCATAATATAAATACTAATAGACTCATTTAAACTAGTTCCTCCTGCAGTGGAAGGCTCAGAGTGCCAGGATGTGTCCTCCTGAGAGCAACACCTTCCCCTGGTCTGATTCACTAAATGTGCCGATTGTCCAGAGACCAGGGTCCTCGCTCTCAGTCCTCCAGTGTTTACACACCATAGTTTAACACAAGGAGAAGGAGCACACACCTACTTTAAATATGTATATAATAAATAGTTTGTTAAACTTTGTGTTGCTCGAACATTTGTCACTGTGCTCCTACATTTTTTCCATTTAGGAGCACATGTGCTCACGGGGGAAAAGGTTAGCGTAGAGCCCTGGATGCTCAGACTCCCATGACTCCTTCCCAACAACCCCGAGAGGGTAAAGAGCTGGTCGGTCCAGGATGGAGTCCACACTGCTCCTCCTGCAGCCGGTCTGAGTCTCGTGTCCAGCACCCTGACCCCTGGAGCCTGAAGGAGTCCTGCGCTGCGTTTGTGCTGCTCAGATATCAAACAAATAGAAATCGGTGTTTCAGTTTGGCGTCCCGTTCAGTGGACGGTTTCCTCACCTGTTCATCGTTATCTGAAGATCAACGCCTCAACCAATCAGTGGATCCACTAGCTGTATACTCTGCTGTGTAGTTTAACCTCCACATGCACCAGATTTTAGAAACACTTCCTTTGTAAAGTACCTGTCAGGTAAAGGTGGTGAAGTAAAAGTATCAGGAACACAACATGGAAATACTGAAGTACTTGAGTCAAAGTATCACAACGTGAAAACAGAAGAATCATTATTTTATTCAGTTATTGCTCAGATAGAAACTCTGCTGTCAGTTTTTCTCTTAAAAGACTTTAACATGACAATAAAAACAGGAAGTTCTTCATTTAAACATCCAAAATAAAAGCCCTCGTCTGAAAACAACCCTGATGAGTCAAACAGCAGTTTTAAAATGTCGAAGGCACTTCGGACACTTAGAGACGCCTTTTTATTATTTTTATAAATATTAATAACAGACAACGTGTCACACCAGTGGCCTGCACCACGAGGGGAGTTAACTGAGGGTAACAAACTCTGACCGCTACGCTGGAGTTAAACTGCGGCGGTGGATCAGACGTTGGTTAGCTGAGTCGGCGTTAACTTATTTGGAGTTGGTTCGGCCGCGCAGGCAGAGTTTTTCACAGCGGCGCGTGCTCCGCATTCCTCCAGAGGAACGCACGTTGGCAGTGTCGGGAAATTATGACTGTAAAGACGAGTTAACTCTAAATCTAATATCGTGGCGGCCGACAGAGCCAGGGAGGCTTGTTGGCGTCGCATGGAGTGAATCTGTAGCCTGATTATCTTCAGGGGTCTGATTGTAGTTCAAATCTCTATTCTGTGTTTTATGGGCTCTTCTTTTATGTGTAACGTGATGAAGATGTAAAAGTCCAGCTGCACACGAGGGGGAATAATCCCAGACAGAAAATAATTTCCAAGATTAATCTACAAGTGAAGAACCTGAATATTCTCTGAGATTATAGTCACACATTTATGAGAGAAACTTCTGCAGGCAGTGGAAAGTTATATTAGACTTCACAATCTGATCCAGCAGTGAGGAAATACTCGTGAGTTTAGCCCACAGTCACTATCCTGCACCTCAGACTTCACCGTGGATCGGCCGTATTCAGAAGGAAACTCCAGAGGGATTCTCGATTTTTGTGACTTTAATTTCAGGGATTTTAAATTTCACACTTTCATGGAGGATTTTTTCCCCTTGTTATTAAGCCCGACCCTGGCTCTGTATTTTTTGGACAGGTAAAACAGTCTAAATATCTAAATATGTGAAACCACGCAGACGGGCTCCATCTAAGAAACTGTGCCGTTAATTAAGATTCCTCTCTGACTCCCCGAGGCTGCAGGGCTCGCTGTGTGAACGTGATGCTGCTGTGTTCACAACTTCACTGCAGCCTCAGAGGAACAAATCAGGTGTGGATTAATATCCTGCTTCTCATCAGTAACACTGAGTACAGATGTGGTGTGGAGTCCACGTGCAGGGGAACCTCGAGGTAACCACCAACAAAACCTGCTCGGAGCAGTTTAGAGATGCGGCGTAAATTGCCATGGAAACAGACCTCGGGTAACACCTGTCCACCTTTCGTAGTACGTGTTAACCGGGAAGTTACACCTGAAGTTACCTGGATAAGCCAGTTACATCCGCTTCGCAGTACAGGCCGCAGTGCACTCACAGGTAAACTGACTCAGTAACAGGAAGTTGTTGGCTCAAATATTTCACCTTAAAAGGACTAAACTGTTTTTTCAAACATTCTGTTTCTGTGTTGCAGCTTTTATTCTGAAAAGGTCTTGTTGTTTCAACCAATGGGAGATTTCAGAGCAAGGTCAGCTGATCTCCAGCAGCCAATCAGCAAATATTCAGATTTTAAAACACAAACAAAAATTTAAATACTTGTAAACAGCTGGCGTCACATGATCAATAACACGTTTAGAGGAGCAGTTCGACGTTTTCTTCTGTCTGCTTCATTTAGTTTCACTGAGAAAACATCCATTTCTGAAATAAAGACATTTTAAAGTCTACCTGTTCATTTGTGTAAAGGGAAGTCTGAGCGTACCTGAAGTTAGTTTCTGTTTTATCTGGTTTCTTTTCTTGTTCGTCTCGTCTGTTTTTTAACGATCGCTCCTCCGTTTGCTTCTTTGCTCGTTAAGGACAGGAATTTTGCAGTTTACTACACTTCCTGGTCAGTAAACGCGTCACAACCTGCTGCTTTATGATCACAGACTCGTTTCTGTGTGAATTGAAACCCTCCGGTGATCATGTGACCTTCCTGTCACTTTACTGAACACAAAGCTCGACACAAATATAAAAACACAAAATATTTTCGAGTACCGCGACACAAATGCACCCTGATTCCTGCCGGTATTGATCCACGTCAGAGCCGATATTAGTTGTGATGGTTGTGGCCGATACTGAAACTATAATATGAATCCTACAGTAAATAAATATTTTCAGATATTATTCATCCTCAAAATAAAGATTACATTAATTTATTGTAAAGGTATTAAAAGATTTACGAGCACGTGTGAGCTGCAGACTATCACTGATCAATCAACAACTACACGGATGGGAAGATCAATCAGACGCGTCTTTAAGGCTGAGTGGGCGTTGACCGCTGCTGGCTCCGCCCCCTCGCTCACACACACACACACCTGAGTCTGCTTTTGGGTCCCTTCTTCTTCTTCTTCTTGTTATTATTGCTGTTAGAAAAGAACACTGACCAATCACATCAACACAATCTGATCAGAAACAGGAAGTAAATACTGTAACCATGACAACGTCATCAGCTGATCCTTCAGTTTATCAAAAAAAAAAAAATCTTCATCTGCCACAAATAAAAAATATAAAATCTGTATTCTGTATCTAAATATATCTTCTGTTTCAGCCAAACACTGCTCATTTACATACAGCTCATTTACATACAGCTCATTAGCATACAGCTCATTCACACGCCGCTTATTAGCACACAGCTCATTTACATACAGTATGGACGGAGAGCAGCTGCTGCTGCCTCAGAGTCTCTTCAGTCACCGAGCTGAACTCCTGCTGCTTTATTAGCTTCCCTTTGAGCCCCACACAGAGGGGGATTGTGGGTAATGTGTCCTCAGGTCAGATGTGTAGTTCTAGTACTGGACGTACTCCGACTGAAGAGACTGGAAGACAGAAACGCAGAAGTTCTGAATAAACTTGATGTTTTTACAGACACGTTTCGGTGATCCTTCATTACTGTTGTTGGTTATTGATGTCACTTCCTGCGGTCAGTCACACTGAGCAGCTGAGGCAGAAACAGATTACTGTGTTCACCCAACGGCTGTTATCAGATTATTTAAAGGTCAGATGACTCTGAGCTCCTCTCTGGGGGGGCTGTAGCCACACCCACTGCTCTCAGCTTCCTGTTGGTGATTGGCTCATTGATCTCTCAGTATTTACAGAACCAGTATCTAATCACATCCTTAACAACAATACAGAACATCTACAACACATCAAACTGGTATCTGAGTAACAGTCTGAACAGACAACCAATCACGGTGTCAGAAACCGACACTAACCAATGAAATTTCACGCTTAGCTTGAATCCGCCTCTGAACTTTCATGATTTGTTGCTGGTCCAAAGGACTTTATTATATTTGGATCCGAGAGCTTTCCAACGGTCATGTGGTGCAGACAGCGAAAGCGGGAGGAGATGCAGCGTTACGAACGTTTCGGAGAAACCTACAGACGCTCAGAACTAAAACACCGAATCAGAGAACGATTAAACAAAGTTTCTGCTGCCGTGTCTCGGACGCTATCTGCTTTACTGCCTCGTCGTCTCTCACGTTCAGCAAAATGTCAACTACAAAAATGTCCTGAGTACTGTCTGCAGGTATTGCTTTCAGCTGCACAGCTCCAACAACCTTGCAGCCTGAGAGGCAGAGCCCTGGGTAAAAAGAAACTACTAACAGCAGTGCCGTCCTTCAAGGTGACGGACCGGATGAGGATTTCCAGGTCAGACGAGGAGGTGTGTTCAGGTGTGTGTGATGGTTTCGCTTCATGCTAACGTGAGAGGAACAGTTTATCACGACATTAAAGTCACATGTGAGCTTCCTGTGTAGAGTCACGATGGACAGACTGTCAGTGTGGACACACCTGGTCATGTGACCTCTGTTACAGGTGAGCTGAAGTTCAGGAGAAACACGCCAGAAGCTTCTTGCATTTTTATTGGCAGACAGTCGAACGTCAGTAAAAAGAAACTGCAGTTCGTCTGTAACTTATATAACCTGAGTTCAGACTGACAGGAAGCGACGCTGAGATTTAATTGTACAGGTGGGTCGTGTTACCTGACAGAGGCAGGCTAGCTTCATATTTAGCGTACACGAGCGGCGTCAGTGTGAACGTCTGGCTCAGAGGGTAGAGAAGAAGAAGGCTGTTGCTGATGTCAGAACACAGAGAACCAATCAGCAAAGAGGGGCGGGGCTAAGCTGCTGCTGTGTCAGAGGACTTACAGGTATGGAGCGGCTCAGGTAGCGTCCTGATGGGCCCTTCAGAGCGGCGCTGTAGGGCCCCGGGCCCCTGAAGTCCGGAGGCCCCGTCCTGCTACCGAGGACGAAGTCGGAGCTTTTCCCTGCGGGGGGCCCCGCAGAGGCTCCGTACAGACCGCTGTTGTTGTTGACCTCCTGCTGCACGCTGCGAGGGCTGTTTCCATAACGACACACAGAGGGAGGGGCCAGAGAGGAGTGGGAGGGGCTGAGAGACACAGAGGAGGAGGGAGGAAGAGCAGAGTAGGGAGGGTTTTTATCCTCCTCCAGGTCTGCAGCGTAAAGGTCACTGAGCGAGCTCGCCAACCGAGAGCTGGGGGGGGGGGGGGGGGGGGGGGGGGGGGGTGGACACATGTCAGTAAGAGAATGATGATCTATTAGAAACAAGTCTGGATTGTTCAATTTTATTTAAGCATCTGGGCCTGTCACCATGGCAACAAGTCCTTGTGAACCTCAAACAGGAAGTGATTGTTAGCTACATGTTGAAATAATCTGACTGTAGAAGAAGAACGTGACGTGTTGAACAGAACTCCTGATCAATACTGACACTAACGAGCAGAAACCTGATCAACGAACACGGAACTCACTGAACTCATCAATATTCATGTTTATCAAAGAGTGGAAACACTGAACACCTCACATGTACCTGCAGAGAAGTACACACAGATACTAACAGCTGCGTATTATTACCTACTACAGCCTGTATATCAGCACTATCAGGGACCAGAGGAGGTGTTCTAGTCCTATCAGGGATCAGAGGAGGCGTCCTAGTCCTATCAGGAGGCGTCCTAGTCCTATCAGGGATCAGAGGAGGCGTCCTAGTCCTATCAGGAGGCGTCCTAGTCCTATCAGGGACCAGAGGAGGCGTCCTAGTCCTATCAGGAGGCGTACTAGTCCTATCAGGGACCAGAGGAGGCGTTCTAGTCCTATCAGGGACCAGAGGAGGTGTCCTAGTCCTATCAGGAGGCGTCCTAGTCCTATCAGGGACCAGAGGAGGCGTCCTAGTCCTATCAGGGACCAGAGGAGGCGTCCTAGTCCTATCAGGGACCAGAGGAGGCGTCCTAGTCCTATCAGGGACCAGAGGAGGCGTCCTAGTCCTATCAGGAGGCGTCCTAGTCCTATCAGGAGGCGTCCTAGTCCTATCAGGAGGCGTCCTAGTCCTATCAGGAGGCGTCCTAGTCCTATCAGGGACCAGAGGAGGCGTCCTAGTCCTATCAGGAGGCGTCCTAGTCCTATCAGGGATCAGAGGAGGCGTCCTAGTCCTATCAGGAGGCGTCCTAGTCCTATCAGGGACCAGAGGAGGCGTCCTAGTCCTATCAGGAGGCGTCCTAGTCCTATCAGGGACCAGAGGAGGCGTCCTAGTCCTATCAGGAGGCGTACTAGTCCTATCAGGGATCAGAGGAGGCGTACTAGTCCTTTCAGGAGGCGTACTAGTCCTTTCAGGGACCAGAGGAGGCGTACTAGTCCTATCAGGAGGCGTACTAGTCCTATCAGGGACCAGAGGAGGCGTACTAGTCCTTTCAGGAGGCGTACTAGTCCTTTCAGGGACCAGAGGAGGCGTACTAGTCCTTTCAGGGACCAGAGGAGGCGTACTAGTCCTTTCAGGAGGCGTACTAGTCCTTTCAGGAGGATTACTAGTCCTTTCAGGAGGATTACTAGTCCTTTCAGGGACCAGAGGAGGCGTACTAGTCCTTTCAGGAGGCGTACTAGTCCTTTCAGGAGGGTTACTAGCCCTTCAGGAGGCATACTAGTCCTTTCAGGAGGCATACTAGTCCTTTCAGGAGGCATACTAGTCCTTTCAGGAGGCGTACTAGTCCTTTCAGGAGGCATACTAGTCCTTTCAGGAGGCGTCCTAGTCCTATCAGGAAACAGAGGAGGCGTCCTAGTCCTATCAGGAGGCGTACTAGTCCTATCAGGGACCAGAGGAGGCGTACTAGTCCTATCAGGGACCAGAGGAGGCGTACTAGTCCTATCAGGGACCAGAGGAGGCGTACTAGTCCTTTCAGGGACCAGAGGAGGTGTACAAGTCCTTTCAGGGACCAGAGGAGGCGTACTAGTCCTATCAGGAGGCATACTAGTCCTATCAGGAGGCATACTAGTCCTATCAGGGACCAGAGGAGGCGTACTAGTCCTATCAGGGACCAGAAGAGGCGTACTAGTCCTATCAGGAGGCGTCCTAGTCCTATCAGGGACCAGAGGAGGCGTCCTAGTCCTATCAGGAGGCGTACTAGTCCTATCAGGGGCCAGAGGAGGCGTCCTAGTCCTATCAGGAGGCATCCTAGTCCTATCAGGAGGCGTACTAGTCCTATCAGGGATCAGAGGAGGCGTCCTAGTCCTATCAGGAGGCGTACTAGTCCTATCAGGGGCCAGAGGAGGCGTCCTAGTCCTATCAGGAGGCGTACTAGTCCTATCAGGAGGCGTACTAGTCCTATCAGGGGCCAGAGGAGGCGTCCTAGTCCTATCAGGAGGCGTACTAGTCCTATCAGGGACCAGAGGAGGCGTCCTAGTCCTATCAGGAGGCGTACTAGTCCTATCAGGGGCCAGAGGAGGCGTCCTAGTCCTATCAGGAGGCGTCCTAGTCCTATCAGGAGGCGTACTAGTCCTATCAGGGATCAGAGGAGGCGTCCTAGTCCTATCAGGAGGCGTACTAGTCCTATCAGGAGGCGTCCTAGTCCTATCAGGGACCAGAGGAGGCGTCCTAGTCCTATCAGGAGGCGTCCTAGTCCTATCAGGGACCAGAGGAGGCGTCCTAGTCCTATCAGGAGGCGTACTAGTCCTATCAGGGACCAGAGGAGGCGTCCTAGTCCTATCAGGAGGCGTACTAGTCCTATCAGGGATCAGAGGAGGCGTACTAGTCCTATCAGGAGGCGTACTAGTCCTTTCAGGAGGCGTACTAGTCCTTTCAGGGACCAGAGGAGGCGTCCTAGTCCTATCAGGAGGCGTACTAGTCCTTTCAGGGACCAGAGGAGGCATACTAGTCCTATCAGGAGGCGTACTAGTCCTATCAGGGACCAGAGGAGGCGTCCTAGTCCTATCAGGAGGCGTCCTAGTCCTTTCAGGAGGCGTCCTAGTCCTTTCAGGAGGCGTCCTAGTCCTTTCAGGAGGCATACTAGTCCTTTCAGGAGGCGTACTAGTCCTTTCAGGAGGCGTACTAGTCCTTTCAGGAGGCGTACTAGTCCTTTCAGGGACCAGAGGAGGCGTACTAGTCCTATCAGGAGGCGTACTAGTCCTTTCAGGAGGCGTACTAGTCCTATCAGGAGGCGTACTAGTCCTATCAGGAGGCGTACTAGTCCTTTCAGGAAGCGTACTAGTCCTTTCAGGAAGCATACTAGTCCTTTCAGGAAGCATACTAGTCCTTTCAGGAAGCATACTAGTCCTTTCAGGAGGCATACTAGTCCTTTCAGGAGGCGTACTAGTCCTATCAGGGACCAGAGGAGGCGTACTAGTCCTTTCAGGAGGCGTACTAGTCCTATCAGGGACCAGAGGAGGCGTCCTAGTCCTATCAGGGACCAGAGGAGGCGTACTAGTCCTATCAGGGACCAGAGGAGGCGTACTAGTCCTTTCAGGGACCAGAGGAGGTGTACAAGTCCTTTCAGGGACCAGAGGAGGCGTACTAGTCCTATCAGGAGGCATACTAGTCCTATCAGGAGGCATACTAGTCCTATCAGGGACCAGAGGAGGCGTACTAGTCCTATCAGGGACCAGAAGAGGCGTCCTAGTCCTATCAGGAGGCGTCCTAGTCCTATCAGGGACCAGAGGAGGCGTCCTAGTCCTATCAGGAGGCGTCCTAGTCCTATCAGGGACCAGAGGAGGCGTCCTAGTCCTATCAGGGACCAGAGGAGGCGTACTAGTCCTATCAGGAGGCGTACTAGTCCTATCAGGGACCAGAGGAGGCGTACTAGTCCTATCAGGAGGCGTACTAGTCCTATCAGGAGGCGTACTAGTCCTATCAGGAGGCGTACTAGTCCTATCAGGGACTAGAGGTGTTGATCAAAGGGAGGCTGACTCAAACAGGAAGTGGATGATAATACTGGATGATAACACTGACCTCCTGATGTTGGACGCCGTTGACGACGGATTTCTACCAATCCTCTTGGCTGCAGCAGAAGCAGAGGATGCTGGGAACTTGGAGGACTTGAGGGGGGAAGAGGGGCCCTGACCGGCACCCATCGACAATCTGAACACAGAGACACAAACCATTATCAATACTTTCACTGATTGATGTTTAAATCAATAAACTGAGCAGATAAAACAGAACTCAATAACAGAACTGTGAGCAGCGAGGAGGTGGCGAGGAGGTGGCGAGCGGAAGGTGAAACCAGGACCAGGCTTCAGAGCTTCAGTTTGTAGAGAAACACACCACAGACAGGAGGAGGCGGTGGCTCTGAGAGACCTGGTCCTCGTCTCTCTGCTGCTCGCATCCCTCCGCTAAGCCCCGCCCACCAAACCCACAAGGGGCTAGTTGCCCTGGAAACCTCAGCCTGCGTACGGCTCACGCTCCAAATGTGCAACCATCGGCGTCTGAGAGGGCGACGCACGGCCGGACTTAAACCAGAGCACTCACAGGAAACGCAGCACAACATACTAGATAGATAGATGAAGGTTTGAGGAGGCGGGACTTTACTGCAGGTAGTTCCACTAACACGGAAACACCTCCGTCCACACGGCCACCGTGTTGAGAGAGGTCAGAGGTCAGAGGTGAGCTGTACCTGAGCGGCTGTGAGGCTGATCTGCTGTGCGTCTTCATCTCCTCCACTCTGAAAGAAAACAGGCAGGTTAAACCTTCAGCTTCATCAGGACCAAGGTTCTGCTGATTAAACCTGCCTCCCTGCAGCCCGTCTGTCAGGCGCACAGCAGGTGTGACAGGACAGGTTTGATGTAGGAACGACATCCAGACACAGTGGACAGAGTTGTGCGTACTGCGTAGTGAATTCAGCGCAGGTTAGAGGCCGGTGTTTCTGTTCCGCTGCCTCCCTGTAGCTCGCTGATCAATCAGTCGTGCAGCTGATACAGGAAGGAGCGCGTTTTTACTTATGGTTAGAAATCTGTGAGCTAATCAGATTCTACAGCAGACAGCTGTTATAAAAAGGCGTATCTCATTTTTTGTGTAACTTAAGTCAAAAAGTGAAACTTTCAGATAAGAGAAATATTTTCGACCATTTGTTTTAGTTAATCCACTTCTCAAAATATTCGCATGGAGACTGTATCAAAGAGACGTGGACCTCCTGTAAAGGTCGGGTTCTGCATCGGGGCGGCGAGGAGACGATCAGCCTGCTGAGCTGTTATGAAGCCCGCAGGTTCTTTGCCAGAGACCTTCAGCTCGTCCAGGGTCTCTCAGAGTCTCTGAGGGGTTCAGGTCAGGTGAGCTGGCCGACCAATCACAGTAACGCCACGGTCAGCAGACCGGTTCCTAGTGGTTCTGGTCCTGCTGGAACAGGAAACCAGCGTCTCCGTAAAGCTCGTCAGCAGATGGAGTCTCTAAAGGCTCCTGGTAGTGAGCCCAGTGGACCAGAACCAGCAGAGGACAAGGCCCCCCTTAGATCATCGCAGACTGTGGAAACTTCACTCTGGACTTTGGATTCTGGTCCTCTCCAGACTCTGGGACCTGGATTTCATCTGAAAACAGGACCACTGAGCACCGGTTCTGGTTTTCCTTAGCCCAGCTAAGACTCGTCTGACTCTGTCTCTGGTTCAGGACTGGCTGACACCAGGACTGAGACGCTTGCAGCTCATGTCCTGAGCTACAGGACTGAGATTAAAGGCTCTTCTCATTCTCTATTCTAATATTTGGAGATGTGGACTTTTGATTTCCGTGAGCTCTGATCACCAAGATTAAAACAGAAGAAATATTTTACTTAAAGTTTAATGAATGTAGAAAATAGGAAAGCTTCCCTTTTTAACCATATTCTAATTTTCTGAGACGCACCTGTACAGAACCCTTCAGATCTGTATCCAATCACACGCTGACTGTCCTACGTGTCTGTCTGAGACCTGAGCAGGGACATCTGGGGTCTCATTTCTAAACGGTGCGTACGTTCAAAACAGGGCTGGAAACGTGCGGACGCCACTTCCCACGCAAAGGTTGTGATCCAATGTGCGTCCTGTAAGTAAAGGAGGAGAAAAGAGAAACGGCGCCGCACACGGCAGAAGGATGTAACGCTTTGAAATGAAGAGGTGGAAAATAAATCCAAATATTCCCTCTGAGTATTCCAGGCTTAAAGCCTTTCTGAATAAAAAAAAACACGTTTCCTTAAGTGGCACAAAAAAAAAAAAAAAAAAAATTTAAGATCATTTGCAGCCACAAAGATCCAGATTCAGGATCAGAAACACAAACGGAGAAAGAACGCCTCAGATATGTTGCACAGTTTAATCAGGAATCAGATTAATTAATACCTGCATGCAGCAATTTATTCTCCTGAATAAGGTGAACAGGAGACAAATTACATTTAAACTGATGCTGTTTTCAGAGCGTCAGTCGAGCCAATAGGAGAGCAGAGTTTCATATACTGTTATCAGATGTTCGTGGAGCCAAACGCTGAGCGCCGGCGTGTGGATGTGATGCTGCTTGTAAAAACACGTTATGGAAATAAAACACTATTTTATGTCATTACAACACGTCCTACTTCTTTAACTCGTCAGCAGCCTCGTTCAGCGAGCCGACTGTTTGTGGAAATAAATGTTTAAACACAGAGGAAGGAATCCAGATCAGTACCTGGGTCATCCCTCCAGCCAGCGACGTCACTACTCAGAGGGAGGCCCCTTCCTGCAGATCGGTCATAAAGGGGCGGGGCTCCGGGGCCCCTTTCCTCGGGTGCACAAGCGTTGGTGAAAGTGTGTTTTTTCCCCACCAAACAGCTTCAGCTTCACCAAAAGGAAGTTCAGAGTCCCTGAGTTAGATTCAGAGTCTGCCTCCTTTTCTTCCTGCAGTCGGGACGTATGAACATTAATGAGCTTCACTGAGCGTTTACAGGCAGCTGTGGGCGCTTGGAGGGTCGGACGTGGCGCTCCCTCACAGGGGCCACATTTCAAGTTGATTGTGATTTAGAAAGCTAACTTGCTGACAGATGTGCGTACGCTCGGTTTTATAAGTCTGAGAATTTTTTGCTGTATGCCATTTTTGGCGTTTGGGAGCACGGACACTTTTAGAGAGGTTTTATAAATGAGACCCCTAGTTATTCTGAACTCTGCTCTCTGTTGGAGGTTTAGGTTCTGGTCTTGGTTCTGGTACCTGAGAGCTACGGTGGTGGCAGGGCGGGGGGGCCGTCGGCTCTTCAAGGCTCTCAGTTTGTCTCCCTGAGTCAGACCCGGTCCGCCGTCCATCACCTCACTCTGGAGGATAAAACAAGCGCACCATGAGATGACTGCCAGGTTACAGGTGTGCGTTTCACTGTGCGTGTGCGCGCGTGTGTGAGACCTCGGTCAGCCGGTCGGAGCTCGGGGATTTGAACATGTTGCTGTTGTAGGCGGAGTTTAACGTGAGGTCGTCCATGCTGGTGATGAGGTGAGACACGGCCCTCTCCTCCAGCTTGGCCTTCTGGGAACGTTGGCTGTCGCCTAGCAACCACAGCGCCGCCTGCTTCCTGTGAACACAAACACATTTAGACGTTTGACAGAAACTGTGTGCTGCTGCTCCTGGTGGATCATTAAAGTCCGACAGGTGTTCCTTTCTGCCTTCCAGGTAAACCACAATCTGGGACTCACTCTTCCAGGAAGTTCTGCTGTGGTCCAATCACAGAGCCCGGTCTGCAGATCCTGATCCAGGCGATGGCCTCGCCTGCCGTGAAGCGGTAATGTTTCATCAAGTAACAGCCAATCAGAGTGCCCGTCCTGCCCAGTCCAGCTGACAAACAGACAGACAGACAGTCAGAACCTCCAGAGAACCAGAACCACACAGTTATAGAACAGGAAGTCATAAGACAGGAAGTCATAGGACAGGAAGTCATAAGACAGGAAGTTATAGGACAGGAAGTTATAGGACAGGAAGTCATAAGACAGGAAGTCATAAGACAGGAAGTCATAAGACAGGATGTTATAAGACAGGATGTTATAAGACAGGATGTTATAAGACAGGAAGTCATAAGACAGGATGTTATAAGACAGGAAGTCAGAAGACAGGAAGTCAGAAGACAGGAAGTCAGAAGACAGGATGTTATAAGACAGGAAGTCAGAAGACAGGAAGTCAGAAGACAGGATGTTATAGGACAGGAAGTCAGAAGACAGGATGTTATAGGACAGGAAGTCAGAAGACAGGATGTCAGAAGACAGGAAGTCATAAGACAGGAAGTCATAAGACAGAGGCGCTACTCGCTATACAGTGAGCTCGCCATTGTGTAGTGCTGTCTGAATGTATAGTGATAATTATTAGTATCTATGTAGTCCACTCAGCAGAGGTGGGATTAAGTCACACATGTCCAAGTCACAAGCAAGTCTCAAGTCTTCAAATTTGCGACTCGAGTCCCCCGTCTCTGCCACTCAGTGTATCCCAGAATGCATTTTGAAAAGTAGTGTAGAACCGATGGTCACTAACCAAGCCCTATATACCATCATGCATTGCACTGAAAAAAATAAAAAATAAAATAAACAGTCCACCAACTGACTGTCTGACGGCAGTGACGTCATTAACGGCGCTGAAATAATGACCGGACAGTGATGTTTTCATAATGCAGGCGAGCTCACTGCATAGTTCTCCCTGCGCAGGGGTGCAGTGTGGTGTAGTGAGTGGGGAGTTCGGACACAGCCAGGAAGTTGTATGAAGGTACAGGAAGTCCTCACCCTTGCAGTGGACAGCGACAGCGCCATCCGTACTCTCACAGATGTGCAGGAAGCGGCGGGTAATGATGTCATTGGGCGTGCTCCCATCTAAGAAGAAGAGGTCGTAGTGGTCGAAGCCGGCGTCCGTGAAGCGCTTGCTGTCGTAGATCTTCTTGTTCAGGCGGATGACGGTGGTCACGTTGTGTTTTCTGAAGTAAGGGAAGTACGCCTCGGGGGCGTGGAGGGGGTAACCTGCAGGGGGCGGAGCAACCACAGGTGTTAAACAGCAGCCCGACAACAAATTCTAGCTTGGACACGCCCCCTTTCTGACCCGCAGGACCCCATCAGGTGCAGCTGACTGAACTCACCGTTCTCTACTTTGGTTTTAGGATGAGGTCCGCTGAAGGCCAGGAACTTCCCCGGGACGATCCAGTTGAGATCTCCATTCTCCACCCGCTGCAGACAAACAGAGGGCGGGAGGTCACAGGTGAGTAACCAGCATCAACATTACAACACCACAACAGATGAGGGCCAGTTTAACCATCTTTGATCCTGTTTGGGTGAATCAAGTCCTGAATGTCCCAAAACCTTCTCCAGCTTAATCACAATAAAACAGAAATCCTTATTTTTGGCCCTTAAAGTCTGTTTTAAAAAACATCAACCCTGCAGCCTGACACCTGGGTGTAATGCTGGACCGTGACCTTTCCTTTGAAAAACAAATGTTGTTCGATCCTGTTTTTATCAGAAACATCTCAAACATCAGGTCTTTTCTCTCTCGGTCTGATCTTAGGAAGTTCATCGCTGCTTTTATTTCATGTACGTTGGATAATTGTGATTCACTGTATTCAGGGCTGAGCTAAAAACGCAGCCGCTCGACTTTAACAAACACAAGAAGATCACACCAGCCCTGTTTCAGCCTCCCTGGTCAAGTGATTTTAACTGATCACTTTCAAAGCACTTCGTGGTTCTTACCCAGCTACACTGCTGAGTAGCTGCTCCCCTATGAGCCCGAGCCTCAGGTCCTCGGGCAGCAGGGCTCTGTTAGATGTCCTGAGCCCCTGAGCTCTGGACCTCCCTGCCTGAGAACCCAAGGTGACATCTTTTAAATCACTTCTCAAGTTTTACCTTTACAAAACAGCCTCTTTAATTTTAGTCCTTCCTTTCTTCTCATTTTAAATTGCTCTGTCTTGAAATATTTTTAATTTGTTTTCCATCCATGTCAGGTTTTAATAAGTGCTGTAAAAATAGAGTTTATTATTACTACAGTGATCCTCCTGAGGGGGGCGCTCCGCTCTCACCACAACCTGTCAGACACTTCCTGCTGCACAGTAAACACACAGACTTTAGATTGTAACATGTTCTTTGTTGATGTGTTCTGCTTTAGGATGAATTATTATTTCATTATCTTTTGTCTTCTTTGAGTTTGTTCTAATTCTGTAGAAACTCTGCACTGACTGTGGTGAGTTGAGGCTGTGGTGAGGTGAGGCAGTGGTGAGGTGAAGCTGTGGTGAAGCTGAGGTGAGGCGAGGCTGTGATGAAGCTGAGGTGAGGCGAGGCTGTGGTGAAGCTAAAGCTGAGGTGAGGCTGTGGTGAGGTGAGGCAGTGGTGAGGCGAGGCTGTGATGAAGCTGAGGTGAGGCGAGGCTGTGGTGAAGCTAAAGCTGAGGTGAGGCTGTGGTGAGGTGAGGCAGTGGTGAGGTGAGGCTGTGGTGAGGTGAAGCTGAGGTGAGGCTGTGGTGAGGTGAGGCAGTGGTGAGGTGAGGCTGTGGTGAGGCTGTCGTGAGGTGAAGCTGAGGTGAGGCTGTGGTGAAGCTGTGGTGAGGCTGAGGTGAGGCGAGGCTGTGATGAAGCTGAGGTGAGGCGAGGCTGTGGTGAAGCTAAAGCTGAGGTGAGGCTGTGGTGAGGTGAGGCAGTGGTGAGGCGAGGCTGTGATGAAGCTGAGGTGAGGCGAGGCTGTGGTGAAGCTAAAGCTGAGGTGAGGCTGTGGTGAGGTGAGGCAGTGGTGAGGTGAGGCTGTGGTGAGGTGAAGCTGAGGTGAGGCTGTGGTGAGGTGAGGCAGTGGTGAGGTGAGGCTGTGGTGAGGCTGTCGTGAGGTGAAGCTGAGGTGAGGCTGTGGTGAAGCTGTGGTGAGGCTGTGGTGAAGCTAAAGCTGAGGTGAGGCTGTGGTGAAGCTAAAGCTGAGGTGAGGCTGTGGTGAAGCTAAAGCTGAGGTGAGGCTGTGGTGAGGCTGTGGTGAGGTGAGGCAGTGGTGAGGTGAAGCTGTGGTGAAGCTGAAGTGAGGGGAGACTGTGATGAAGCTGTGGTGAGGTGAAGCTGAGGTGAGGTGAGGCTGTGATGAAGCTGTGGTGAGGTGAAGCTGAGGTGAGGTGAGGCTGTGATGAAGCTGTGGTGAGGTGAAGCTGTGGTGAGGTGAGGCTGTGATGAAGCTGTGGTGAGGTGAGGCTGTGGTGAGGTGAAGCTGTGGTGAGGTGAAGCTGAGGTGAGGTGAAGCTGAGGTGAGGTGAGGCTGTGGTGAGGTGAAGCTGAGGTGAGGTGAGGCTGTGGTGAAGCTAAAGCTGAGGTGAGGCTGTGGTGAAGCTAAAGCTGAGGTGAGGCTGTGGTGAAGCTAAAGCTGAGGTGAGGCTGTGGTGAGGTGAAGCTGAGGTGAGGCTGTGGTGAGGTGAGGCTGTGGTGAAGCTGAGGTGAGGTGAGGCTGTGATGAAGCTGTGGTGAGGTGAAGCTGAGGTGAGGTGAGGCTGTGATGAAGCTGTGGTGAGGTGAAGCTGAGGTGAGGTGAGGCTGTGGTGAAGCTGTGGTGAGGTGAAGCTGTGGTGAGGTGAGGCTGTGGTGAAGCTGAGGTGAGGTGAGGCTGTGATGAAGCTGTGGTGAGGTGAAGCTGAGGTGAGGTGAGGCTGTGATGAAGCTGTGGTGAGGTGAAGCTGTGGTGAGGTGAGGCTGTGGTGAAGCTGAGGTGAGGTGAGGCTGTGATGAAGCTGTGGTGAGGTGAAGCTGAGGTGAGGTGAGGCTGTGATGAAGCTGTGGTGAGGTGAGGCTGTGATGAAGCTGTGGTGAGGTGAGGCTGTGGTGAGGTGAAGCTGAGGTGAGGTGAGGCTGTGGTGAGGTGAAGCTGTGGTGAGGTGAGGCTGTGAAGCTAAAGCTGAGGTGAGGCTGTGGTGAAGCTAAAGCTGAGGTGAGGCTGTGGTGAAGCTAAAGCTGAGGTGAGGCTGTGGTGAAGCTAAAGCTGAGGTGAGGCTGTGGTGAGGTGAAGCTGAGGTGAGGCTGTGGTGAGGTGAGGCTGTGGTGAGGTGAGGCTGTGGTGAGGTGAGGCTGTGGTGAGGCTGTGGTGAGGTGAGGCTGTGGTGAGGCTGTGGTGAGGTGAGGCTGTGGTGAAGCTAAAGCTGAGGTGAGGCTGTGGTGAGGTGAGGCTGTGGTGAGGTGAGGCTGTCGTGAGGTGAAGCTGAGGTGAGGCTGTGGTGAAGCTAAAGCTGAGGTGAGGCTGTGGTGAGGCTGTGGTGAGGTGAGGCTGTGGTGAGGCTGTGGTGAGGTGAGGCTGTGGTGAAGCTAAAGCTGAGGTGAGGCTGTGGTGAGGCTGTGGTGAGGTGAGGCTGTGGTGAGGCTGTGGTGAAGCTGTGGTGAAGCTGTGGTGAAGCTGTGGTGAAGCTGTGGTGAGGTGAGGCTGTGGTGAAGCTAAAGCTGAGGTGAGGCTGTGGTGAAGCTAAAGCTGAGGTGAGGCTGTGGTGAGGCTGTGGTGAGGTGAGGCAGTGGTGAAGCTAAAGCTGAGGTGAGGCTGTGGTGAAGCTAAAGCTGAGGTGAGGCTGTGGTGAGGTGAAGCTGAGGTGAGGCTGTGGTGAGGCTGTGGTGAGGTGAGGCTGTGGTGAGGTGAGGCTGTTGTGAGGTGAAGCTGAGGTGAGGCTGTGGTGAAGCTGTGGTGAGGTGAGGCTGTCGTGAGGTGAAGCTGAGGTGAGGCTGTGGTGAGGCTGTGGTGAGGTGAGGCTGTCGTGAGGCGAGGCTGTCGTGAGGTGAAGCTGAGGTGAGGCTGTGGTGAAGCTAAAGCTGAGGTGAGGCTGTGGTGAGGCTGTGGTGAGGTGAGGCTGTGGTGAAGCTAAAGCTGAGGTGAGGCTGTGGTGAGGCTGTGGTGAGGTGAGGCTGTGGTGAGGCTGTGGTGAAGCTGTGGTGAAGCTGTGGTGAGGCTGTGGTGAAGCTTTGGTGAGGCTGTGGTGAAGCTGTGGTGAGGTGAGGCTGTGGTGAAGCTAAAGCTGAGGTGAGGCTGTGGTGAAGCTAAAGCTGAGGTGAGGCTGTGGTGAGGCTGTGGTGAGGTGAGGCAGTGGTGAGGTGAAGCTGTGGTGAAGCTGAAGTGAGGTGAGACTGTGATGAAGCTGTGGTGAGGTGAAGCTGAGGTGAGGTGAGGCTGTGATGAAGCTGTGGTGAGGTGAAGCTGAGGTGAGGTGAGGCTGTGATGAAGCTGTGGTGAGGTGAAGCTGAGGTGAGGTGAGGCTGTGATGAAGCTGTGGTGAGGTGAAGCTGTGGTGAGGTGAGGCTGTGATGAAGCTGTGGTGAGGTGAGGCTGTGGTGAGGTGAAGCTGTGGTGAGGTGAAGCTGTGGTGAAGCTGAGGTGAGGTGAGGCTGTGGTGAGGTGAAGCTGAGGTGAGGTGAGGCTGTGAAGCTAAAGCTGAGGTGAGGCTGTGGTGAAGCTAAAGCTGAGGTGAGGCTGTGGTGAGGCTGTGGTGAGGTGAGGCTGTGGTGAGGCTGTGGTGAAGCTGTGGTGAAGCTGTGGTGAGGCTGTGGTGAAGCTTTGGTGAGGCTGTGGTGAAGCTGTGGTGAGGTGAGGCTGTGGTGAAGCTAAAGCTGAGGTGAGGCTGTGGTGAAGCTAAAGCTGAGGTGAGGCTGTGGTGAGGCTGTGGTGAGGTGAGGCTGTGGTGAAGCTAAAGCTGAGGTGAGGCTGTGGTGAGGCTGTGGTGAGGTGAGGCTGTGGTGAGGCTGTGGTGAAGCTGTGGTGAAGCTGTGGTGAAGCTGTGGTGAAGCTGTGGTGAAGCTGTGGTGAGGTGAGGCTGTGGTGAAGCTAAAGCTGAGGTGAGGCTGTGGTGAAGCTAAAGCTGAGGTGAGGCTGTGGTGAGGCTGTGGTGAGGTGAGGCAGTGGTGAAGCTAAAGCTGAGGTGAGGCTGTGGTGAAGCTAAAGCTGAGGTGAGGCTGTGGTGAGGTGAAGCTGAGGTGAGGCTGTGGTGAGGCTGTGGTGAGGTGAGGCTGTGGTGAGGTGAGGCTGTTGTGAGGTGAAGCTGAGGTGAGGCTGTGGTGAAGCTGTGGTGAGGTGAGGCTGTCGTGAGGTGAAGCTGAGGTGAGGCTGTGGTGAGGCTGTGGTGAGGTGAGGCTGTCGTGAGGCGAGGCTGTCGTGAGGTGAAGCTGAGGTGAGGCTGTGGTGAAGCTAAAGCTGAGGTGAGGCTGTGGTGAGGCTGTGGTGAGGTGAGGCTGTGGTGAGGTGAGGCTGTGGTGAAGCTAAAGCTGAGGTGAGGCTGTGGTGAGGCTGTGGTGAGGTGAGGCTGTGGTGAGGCTGTGGTGAAGCTGTGGTGAAGCTGTGGTGAGGCTGTGGTGAAGCTTTGGTGAGGCTGTGGTGAAGCTGTGGTGAGGTGAGGCTGTGGTGAAGCTAAAGCTGAGGTGAGGCTGTGGTGAAGCTAAAGCTGAGGTGAGGCTGTGGTGAGGCTGTGGTGAGGTGAGGCAGTGGTGAGGTGAAGCTGTGGTGAAGCTGAAGTGAGGTGAGACTGTGATGAAGCTGTGGTGAGGTGAAGCTGAGGTGAGGTGAGGCTGTGATGAAGCTGTGGTGAGGTGAAGCTGAGGTGAGGTGAGGCTGTGATGAAGCTGTGGTGAGGTGAAGCTGAGGTGAGGTGAGGCTGTGATGAAGCTGTGGTGAGGTGAAGCTGTGGTGAGGTGAGGCTGTGATGAAGCTGTGGTGAGGTGAGGCTGTGGTGAGGTGAAGCTGTGGTGAGGTGAAGCTGTGGTGAAGCTGAGGTGAGGTGAGGCTGTGGTGAGGTGAAGCTGAGGTGAGGTGAGGCTGTGAAGCTAAAGCTGAGGTGAGGCTGTGGTGAAGCTAAAGCTGAGGTGAGGCTGTGGTGAAGCTAAAGCTGAGGTGAGGCTGTGGTGAAGCTAAAGCTGAGGTGAGGCTGTGGTGAGGCTGTGGTGAGGTGAGGCTGTGGTGAGGTGAGGCTGTGGTGAGGCTGTGGTGAGGTGAGGCTGTGGTGAGGTGAGGCTGTGGTGAGGTGAAGCTGAGGTGAGGCTGTGGTGAAGCTGTGGTGAGGTGAGGCTGTCGTGAGGTGAAGCTGAGGTGAGGCTGTGGTGAGGCTGTGGTGAGGTGAGGCTGTCGTGAGGTGAAGCTGAGGTGAGGCTGTGGTGAAGCTAAAGCTGAGGTGAGGCTGTGGTGAGGCTGTGGTGAGGTGAGGCTGTGAAGCTAAAGCTGAGGTGAGGCTGTCGTGAGGTGAGGCTGTCGTGAGGTGAAGCTGAGGTGAGGCTGTGGTGAAGCTAAAGCTGTGGTGAGGCTGTGGTGAGGCTGTGGTGAGGTGAGGCTGTGGTGAAGCTAAAGCTGAGGTGAGGCTGTGGTGAGGCTGTGGTGAGGTGAGGCTGTGGTGAGGCTGTGGTGAAGCTGTGGTGAAGCTGTGGTGAAGCTGTGGTGAAGCTGTGGTGAAGCTGTGGTGAAGCTGTGGTGAGGTGAGGCTGTGGTGAAGCTAAAGCTGAGGTGAGGTTGTGGTGAGGCTGTGTTGAGGCTGTGGTGAACCTGTGTTGAGGCTGTGGTGAAGCTGAAGCTGAGGTGAGGTTGTGGTGAGGCTGTGTTGAGGCTGTGGTGAGGCTGAAGCTCTGGTGAGGCTGTGAGTTGTTCTGCTCTGTTAAACGCTTTCTGCTTGTTCTGTTATTGATCTCCTCATTAAACCTGCTGAAAAGCTGAGGTGACCTTTTGACGAGTCTTCTAACTAAATTATGTACGACTCTGCAGAGACGGACGGGCCGCTGCTGGTTTTTACCTCATAGTGTTCGTACTCGCCCACGTCAAAGGTCTCAAAGTCGAAGAAGCCATGCTGCAGAGCCTGAAACAAATGCACAGAGGCATGACAGTGTTTTTATCCTTTCACCATTAAACAGGGTTTAAAACACGTTTTTAAAGCCCCTCCTACACAAATTAATCATTAACATTCTAATTATTTGTAGTAAAAGTCAAAGAGTTCACAGTTTATTTAGCCCCCTCCCACTAAAGTAAGAGTGTGACATTGTGCAGATGATGTCAGCATCCAGCTGGCCAATCAGAGCAGGGATGATTCAGACTCACCTTCCTGATGCCCTGCAGACAGTCCAGCACTGTGAGGTTGAAGGTGCAGTTCCCGAAGGCAGCGTCCCTGCAGAGACACAGACCAATAATCAATACTTCTGATCAACTGTACTGACCTGCAGCCGAGCCTGTCAGGTCTTTACGATGCTCAACGCACCGTGTGTACAACCACACACCTGCAGCGGACAGTCTCTGCTGCAGGTCCAGGACTGGAGCTCGGAGCCCCGAGTCCTGGTCCAAAGCTCCTGTGTAAACACCAACACTCCCTCGGTGCTCCAGCTCTGGGCAGAGTCAGCTAAGCTAATACGGGCGCTAGCTGCATGGCTAACTAGCTAACGGCAGCTACACTTAACGTTTACTTTAAAGCTTCCTGCCAATCCAGAGACTCCAGATCCAGGTCCACCAGAATCAGTGATTACAGGTAATCCGTGAAGCCCTGAGCAGTTCATCCCTGCCTCCTCTGCGGTCTGAGTGAATCCTCATGTTCAGCCCACATCGCTGAGGGGAGGAAATCATCCGGGGGGGATGTTAACACGTCCGAACACGGACCACGGAATCATGGGCCAGTTTATTAACAAGTTGACGTAATGAAACGCACTGCTGACGGAGAAAGTGAGCAGACACACATACAGGGAGAGAGAGACAGAAAGAGGCGGAGCCAGCAGGTGTGTTCGCAGTGAGAGACCAGAGGTGAACGTGATGAAGAGAGGGAGCAGATTCAAGCAGGTGCACAGTGACCTAGAATAACCTACAATCAGCACAAATCAGTCCCTGCAGGATGTCGCGATCACAACTATTAACACAAATTCAACAAATCCCTGTGAATTCAGACAGACCCGCAAATCTGACCTCTCATTGCTAAACGCTGTCACACGTCAGCAAACTCACGTCCTTGTTCAGAAGACGCAGCAGACGTGTGATGCCAACGTCTCACATTTACCTACAGAAATAAACAGCAAAGGGCCGTGAAGACCAGGACCCAGATCTTCTTGCAGCATCGTGGTCGAACATAAAGGAAATCGTCTCCTGACAAACACTTTGGGAGAGAACGTCAGACACAGGCTGGTGCATCCGCTCAGCTGCAGGACAGAGTCAGCTGGTTTAAATCTGCAGGGTCAGGGTCCGGGTCAGGGTCCAGGTCAGGGTCCGGCCCGCAGAGTCCTGGAGGGACTGTTTTAGGCCCTGATCAGTCAAAGATTATAGCACCGGTGCTCTGTAATCCTTGGTTTTCCGCAAAGTAATAACCGTCATATTAGCAGAAACTTGATCACAACTCACAGGTCTGTGTCTTTTGTTGCTAAAAACAACTGGAAACTTCCGTCACCACAAATGAGGGCCCGTCTCTCCATTCATTCGATTGGACAATGGAAAAAACGTGAATGACGTCGGGCGCTTTTCTGCCCAGAGTTGAATTTTTTTCAACTCCGTGCACTCAGAGCGCTCCTTTGAAAACGCGAGACGCCCAGGGCGCATAAACAGCGCGCAGAACCTTCACTGACAATAGAATACAATTAAAAACAGGCGCCTCTCACAGCACAAGACGCGTTCTGTCTGATCCGGGCCTAATGATTCCACTACAATTGAAAAAGGTAAAAAATGTTTCAGTTTTCACTTTATTCTCACAATCTCATCTAAAAAAAACGCCCTAAACATCTCAACTTCCATCGCAAGTTTTTTAGAAAAGCTGCTGCAACATCGCAAAAAGGCAGCGAGATCCTGGAGGGACGGACAAATCGCTGTACGCCGCCGCCCCGGCCGCTGCCTCCACAGTTACACCGTTTTAAAAAGAGCTTTTCTGCCCAAATACAGAAAATATGGGCCTGTTCTCAGTGTAGTCTATACAGGAAAGGAGTCTACTGTCCAAATCATTTTCAAAAATCAAAATATCGGCTCATAAATTATGAGCCGATATTTTGGCGGCTTCTGCCCCCAAAAACCCACATCAGTCGGGCTCCAGTCCTGACAACAGGTCCCTCTTAATGAAAGACGAAGGTCTCACTCAGGTGATGTCTCTTCTCTCTTCACTGATACATGTCTCACACTGGGGGGGACGGGGACTCTTCTATTTTAAAGCATGAATACCAAACAATTAATCAATCCTCAAAATTTCCCAATTATTTTTTTGTCCCCTTTGAGTGACAACACCTTTACAGAGAGGAGTGTTCACGGTAGTGATGCCCGATATGGACTTTCACCTTAATGATCAGATGACCTATATTTATTGGGTTTCTCTGGTTGCTAATTTTAGCTGCTGCTTCGTCACTTTGACGAACTTTCAGGTGACCTTTAACATTCTCGTGGTGAAACTTGCAGAACATGATTTGCATATTCCAACAGAGCGGTCTTCCATCCAAGCCGTCGACGACATGTCTGTTCGGGTCTCGCTGTCGGCTCTATCCAGGCGCCGCAATATGAGGTCATGAGCGCGACAACGGCAGCTACGCTAGTTCAGCCCTTCCCTGTGTGCAACACCTGCACTGACTTTAAAGAACAAAGAGTCGATGCAGCAGAGACGTCGTCGGTTTTGTTCCACTCCTTCCAAAACTTGTTATCAACATTACCCACAATGCAACTCTCCCCTGACAGCCGTGTGTGAGATTGGGTTGCATTGAACTTTAACCTCTAGGTGTTTGCAATGGTTACCATCCAACTAAACTTCAAACTTCCTACAAGTAAAAGCATTCAGTCCTCTCAGACAGTCCGACGGTCAGTGAACGCCTCACTGCTGTCTGTCACTCAGTGGGCGGGGCTTCCTCATGTTTACTCCATCAGCAGCCTGCAGAGACTCATCAGACCTCGTCCACCCAACACCACCATGCAGTGCTGTTACATAACCAGAGACAACAAGAAGCCCTTTATCCTCACAACACACACACACTGAAGGAACAACAAGCTGCAGCTTCAAACTAACTTCTGTTTCAAACCATCTGCAGGGGAACAACCCGTGCTCATGAGGCCGAGAGCAGTTCAAACACTTTTTAAGTTTCTCCTTCAGGTCGTTTCATTAAAGTCTCGTTCCGATCAAAGACGTTTTTCTTCTCTGCTGTGAAACGACGCTGCTGTAACGTTCTGTGGAGTTCAGTGTGTTTTAGCGTGGTGCACGTCACACGTCTGCTCTGCACCTGTTGAACCTGTGAGCGTCACAGCAGACTGAGGGTTTGCGTCCATCTGGATTCAGCTGCTTCACACAGGAAACGCAACCACGGTACTTGCTTTCACGCACAACGCGATGCGATTACATACAAGGTCAAAGACACGGAAGGGACGCGATTTCCTGCCGGGTGGCGTGCTGGAGGCCAAGTGTGTGACCACGAGATAAATCGCAGCAATACTCCATCGCATGAGTTGACATTTTTCAACTTGAGTGTGAAAGTCACACGGCGATAGTCTATCAGGGTTCAGACTGTCCAGACGTCACTGACAGATTCGGAGCGACGCTACAGGAGGCTGCTGGGAGAAAAGGACGAGAGGAAGCTGAACTACCTGAAAGATCAGAAAATATGAGTCTGTAACTTGATTCCAGCTGTCGTTGAACCTGATCGAACCAAACTCCATTCAGAAAACAATCATTTTAAAAGCCGTTTGTTTGCTTCTCATCTTGCTGACAGACCTGACAAACATGAAGTCACATGTTTAACAGATCAGCATCATGACGTCGTTATTTCAGCATCAGTTTGATCCGTTTGTTGAAACTAAATCACAGCTAAAAGTTTACTTTGGGTTCAGCCGTAGTGATGGTGGGTTGCGTTTATTTGCTTTGTGTATGAACACTGAGGAGATGAGTCCAGCGGTCAAACTCATAATGTGTGTGAAACCGGTATAATAGTCGACTTACCGAAGCACCGCTGCTAACTGTACTAGCTACCATTAGCTAGTTAGCTCAGTTAGCCAACTCTGCTCAGACCGGGAGCTCAGAGCACAGAGCTGCTGTTTGTTTATGCTGTTAGCGCAGGAGCTTTGCGCCGCTGGGAGGAGGAGGGTTTCAGATCCGGGGCGAGGGACCCTGTGGGCGCCAGGGAGGGGCGCCGGAATGAGCACCAGAACTGGAGCTGAGCGAGTGGGCAACAGGTCCGGGCTCAGGAGCCTCCCACGGCTGGACCGAGACAGAACACGGCCTCTAAGACCGACAGAGGCCGGTCTGAGTCTCAGCCAGATCCTGAACTGAAGGATCAGCTTCCTCTGTTCTTACAGGACAGAGTACAGATGGAACTCACCTGAAGGGCAGGTAGGAGGCGTTGGAACCAGAGATCAGAGCTCTGTAGGCTTCTTCTGGAGTTTTCTTCAGGTAGATCACCTGAGACGGAGAGAAGCGTTCAGACAAACATGGAAATCTGAAACTCTCTTTTGATGGAGCTAGTCTTTGTGCTAAGCTAGGCTAACGGTTTCCCTCTGCCTCCAGTCTTTGTGCTAAGCTAGGCTAACGGTTTCCCTCTGCCCCCCGTCTTTGTGCTAAGCTAGGCTAACGGTTTCCCTCTGCCCCCCGTCTTTGTGCTAAGCTAGGCTAACGGTTTCCCTCTGCCTCCAGTCTTTGTGCTAAGCTAGGCTAACAGTTTCCCTCTGCCTCCAGTCTTTGTGCTAAGCTAGGCTAACGGTTTCCCTCTGCCCCCCGTCTTTGTGCTAAGCTAGGCTAACGGTTTCCCTCTGCCTCCAGTCTTTGTGCTAAGCTAGGCTAACAGTTTCCCTCTGCCCCCAGTCTTTGTGCTAAGCTAGGCTAACGGTTTCCCTCTGCCTCCAGTCTTTGTGCTAAGCTAGGCTAACAGTTTCCCTCTGCCTCCAGTCTTTGTGCTAAGCTAGGCTAACGGTTTCCCTCTGCCCCCCGTCTTTGTGCTAAGCTAGGCTAACGGTTTCCCTCTGCCTCCAGTCTTTGTGCTAAGCTAGACTAACAGTTTCCCTCTGCCCCCAGTCTTTGTGCTAAGCTAGGCTAACGGTTTCCCTCCGCCTCCAGTCTTTGTGCTAAGCTAGGCTAACATAAACTGGGTCAAAGACGTTTTCATCTGATGGTGTGATTTTTGGGGGGGTCTTTATAACATGATGCGTCTCTGCAGTACAGAATTTCATTTTAAAACATCATCTTCCACAAATACTGCGTCTCCTGCGAGTAGAAAGTAACTGTAGGTCATATTGTGATTTTGATAACATCTGGACGTCACTTTCAGCGGCCATCTTTCATGTTGCTTCATCTACATCTTCCTCCTGATGTTCACTGAAGAAAGAACAGCTTCTCCTCTCAAGACAAACTCGCAGTCAGACTTGAGTTCCTGCTGTGAACACATCTATCTCATCATGAAGCAGCAGCTGTCTGACATCAGCGGCAGCTCACACTAAAGGTAAACATCAACTGAAAGGTAACGTACAGTAGAGTCAGGTAGAAACCTGTTGCAGATCACCTGCTGATGCATCTGTGGTTTTCTGATAACTTCATTAGTCTTTGCATTCGATCAGTGTGATGCATCCAGACACCGAAACACACCAGGAGACGGTGAAGGAGCTGATTTCAGGTCAGATTAGTGCGTAACTGTGCAGACCGACACACTCAGTCAGTGTGTCAGCAGGTCCGATCAGAGCTTCTCTGTCACACAACCAACATCATCAAATATTCAACACACACACAGTCACAGTGTGTGTGTGTGTGTGTATGTGTGTGTGTGTGTGTGTGTGTGTGTCCTCCCTGCACAGATCTGTGTTCAGTGACGTTAACACACATCATGCTGTGCAGCGTTTATATAACGAGACATGCTGATGAGACATTCTGAGTCTCAGTAACAGAAACTGACTCATTAAAGTCAGACCATCACCTGTAGGAACTTCACTACCCAGGATGCTTCTGGTGAGGAAGTATAATGGTGCAGTGAGTTAGCTGCTAGTTTTTCAGCCTTTGTGTGTTCATATTTAGTCAAATTGTCCCCGTTAGCTGAATCAGCTGTTAGCAGTTAGCATGGATGTGCAGACAGCGCTCTCTGTGATACTGAAGGAAACTTCTGCAGCGTAGCTTTCTGGTTCCTAAGCTGATCGTTGGCCGATTGATCTCACAGATCATGAAAAGCTCAGGGAGGAGGAGGAGCAGAGGTGTTTTAATGAGCTCTACTATCACTACAGTAACCAACTTCCTGTTGTTACAACACCTGCATGAACCCGTCCCCCAACAGGAAGAGATACTGATGACTCACAGCATAGCCTCCGATCAGCACGGCGGCGTTGGACCTCTTCCTCTGGTCAAAGCTGGTGTAGTGAACGATTCTCTTCCTGGTCAGAGTGAACGACTGCAGAGAAGAAGAAGAAACAAACGCCACATGAGGATCAGACCAGCGTCGAGTTGATCGGCAGAAAATCAATCAATGAATATCTGCAAGTTTCACTTTTTGAATTGAGTTACAGGAGAAAAAAGAACTTTTGATGTTTGGTTTTAATTTGTTATCTGATGCTCTAAAAGTTTCACATCGTGACTGACAGCTGAGCTGTGATTGGGTCAGTCTGGTGTGTGGGCGGGGCCTCGACAGCATTCAGCTTAAGTAAAGTTTTGAATGCAGGACTTTTAGTGGAGTATTTTTCACAGTGTAGTATTAGTACTTTTAGCGAATACTTCTCCAAACCTGCTTTTAACAAACCAAGTGGGTGAAAATAAGATGTAAGACAGTGACGTTCCACCCGTGTGGATAAAAACAGAAAGAGAGACTCACACATCAGCTCCATGTAATCTGCTGAACTGCTTCATGTGCTGCATTCAGGAACAGACCGACTGTTTATTTTCTGCAGCTCCACCTCGGGATAAATTTAACCAGGTTGCCTCTGCAGAGTCATCAAGTTAACTGGGGCTGGATCACAGTAACGGTAAATATCCTGATACACTGACTCTAAATACAATGAAGATGGTGTAAAACAAACGCACTTCATCACATTTTCTCCTTTTATTTGGGACTTAACCCTTTAGATTCCTGTAAAATTCACCTAAAGCACCGACCCACAAGGAACTGAATGTGGTTCTTGAACCACTTGAAGTGCTGCTGGATTCATTAATATAAGTTTGAATTTTGACTTGTGAGCTGTGAAACACTGTGGGGCTGCAGCCTGAAGCCTCACCTGGTCCAAGTTAAACTTTTATAGCAATATTATATTTTATACAGGTTTTTCTGAGCGTTTAAAAAAAAAAATCATTCTATATTAGCCGTCTTTACGCAGATGTTTTTTTTGCCGGCTCCTAGCTGAAGCTAGACATCTTTATTTTCAGAATCTTTCTTCAGCACACCCACGGCGTACCCACGAATTAATGGCTGGCCCTTCACTACAGCGCGGGCTCTGGTTGGCTGTTGTAGGCTGTGGACGGGACATGTGAGCTCCTATTGGGTCGAATTAGGGGTTAGTTGAAAGGTCAGAGTTTGGCAGCCATTTTCAAATCAATATATTGCATTTGTTTACATCCAAACCAGAGTTACTACCGTTATAATGAAATATTATATGATAATATGAACGGATATTCTGTGAATTTATTGATGGACTAAATGTTTTAACTGGCCTGGATCATCTGGACCTTTGAAAAGGAAACAAGATGGATCGCACAGCAACACGCTGTTATTTACTGCTGCTCGTAGACTCTGCCTCGCCTGTCAGTCTGCCCTGTGAGGGGAACAGGTTCGCTGCAGACGATCTGAATCTGAATCCAGACCGTCCGGTCGCCATGACGAACCACAAACAGGCGACCAGAGGAATGTCATCCCCATGGCTACAAAAATCCAACAAAACAAAACACTGAAGACACCTGAAGCTTTACACGCCGCCACCTTCACCCAACAGGGGGAACGTGTTACTGTGCGTGTCACTCTCCTGTGATTGGTGCACTGCAGCTTGTGGAGTGGGGCACTTTATGTAAACAAGATTACTGATCAATATCTTTGGTAAAATAGGACACGCCGTGGCCTGACGCGCACCTCTCAATAATGTAACCACACGTCACGGCAGACTGTAAGAACTGTGATTGGTCGTCTCGGCAGCGTTGCATTTACTCCTACACGTTTACCTCAACTGCTTCAGGGGTCGTACACAACATCTCCTCCGACGCCTTCTCTCGTTTCTGCATTTCACTAATTTCACTGAAAGCAGCTGCTGTTCAGCATCAATCAGCTCCAACACGATCCGCTCACTTTACTTTTGGAGGTGTAACTGCAGAGCGACGCAGACACAACACGCACGCATAAATGCTCATGACGGCACGTTGACGGCGGCCTTCGGACTCAGCCAAACCAGGAAAACACTGAACTTTTCAGATATTCCTGAACGCATCACAACAACACTGCTGCTGAAAGAAAGTTTTAAAACCTTTACTTGGCATGTGGTACGGCAAAAATCATAATAAAGATTATTTTGAGATCACGATTATTTGACACGATTTCTCGCTGACTTGGGAAACATTCATAAAACTAAAACACTGATTTATGAATTACCCCAAACCGCCCCTGAAAAAAGAACCAGTTCCTTGAAACAGCATCTGAGAGGAAGAATGAGTGAGAGTCTGCAGTGAGAGTCTCTCCTATTGCATTCTGGGCATTCCTGACGTGGGCGCGTCAGCGGCAGAAACTCACCTTCAGCTTCTTGTTGAGTTTGCAGCAGTATCGGTACAACATGGCCAGATTCAGAGGGCCGAAGTCTGCGTAGAAACTGGAGACACAGCCAGAGGTTAGAGAGTAATCTGGTTACATCGTCCCAACCGTCAGACTACCTGCGGCTCAGCCACGGTGTACGTGACATCATCAGCCAGCAGCAGGCCGCTCATCACTACAGCTGAAACCGTTAATCAACAGTTTAACTGACAACTTGTGATTGGGATGAATCGATCAATTGATAATGAAAATATCAAGTGTTAATGTTAGCGCAGCAGCTACACAGGTGCTAATGTTAGCATTACATGTTGCATTACAACACTTATCGTTAATTATTATGAAGTAGGTAATTAATAAATGTGAGCAGAGGTTCACCGGCTCGTGAACTAAAAAGCACTTCTTATCATTTCAAATAACATCAGAACGGACCAGACTGTTGTCACGAGAGCCGATACCGAAGGTACCAAGTCGATACCAAAATTCCAAACCACATCAGTACTTGTAAAAGTAAGTATTTATATAGCACTTTTCACAGATAGAATTACAAGGTGCTTCACACTGAAACAACAAGACGCAGCTCTAGCTAAACAGCAGAAACACATTGACATATGGCAGACAAGTTTAAAACCGAGCAGCTGCTTTTTAAAGAAACAACACAGCGTAACGAAGTAGGGAGTACATTCCACAACCTGGGTGCAGCGGCTTGGAAAGACCGGCCTCCTCTGGTCTTAAAGTGGGTATGGGGAACTACTAACAGCCTCTGATCTAATGACCTTAGGTTACGGGGCGGGGGAGTTTGTTGCTCTAACAGGTCGGAGATGTAAGAGGGAGTTTGACCTTGTGACGCTCTAAAAGTAAGGACCAAGATTTTAAAATTTATTCTAAAAGGGATGATCGGACTGGAGTAATGTGCTTTCTTCTGCTTCGTATTAAGAGTCTAGCAGCTGAGTTCCAGACAGCTCGGAGGCGAGTGACTTTTTTATTACTACTTGTTTTTCTAGGTCCCAAAGGTACCGGAGATCCAACACGTGGAAGATGGAGACAAGCTAGAAAACGACTCCTTCTGCATACGAGCGTGTCGGACCTCAGTTGGAGCCAGTCCTATACTGCGCTGTGATTGGCCAGCTGTGTATTCTGGGCGTGGCTTAGCGAAGGATCAATTTCAGCAGTTTTTCCTGTCTAAACATCTGACATGAAACCGCCTCTCATCCGTCCTGGACGTCCTCTCTCACAGCGGCTCTAATGTTCACATGTTTTATTGAAGTCCATGATGAGACCTACTGTTGTGGTTTTTACAGTGGTGTTGAGAATCGCAGAACGTTACCGGTATCAGCTACTAACTTTCTGTGACGTCCCTAAACACGACAGCTAGGGCCGACTTCTCTTGGCGAGTAGCAGAGAACAGCAGAATTACTGACATTATTCTTTAAATAAATAAATAAAAAAAAGAATAAGGAGCCGATAGAAGAATTGATCAGACTATTTGTACAGATCATGTTTCCAGTCTGGGCTCGCAGTTTACCGACACTTTATCATTTTGAAATGAGTCAGACTTACTTTTCGTAGAGGAACTCGTCGTCAGTGCAGAAGTAGTGCGTGTTGGCGGTGCTTTTGGGTTTACTGCGTAACGTGGCGAAGTACAGCCGCTCTGTTAAAGACACGGAGATAAACGGGTTAAAACACTGAGAAAACTGAACCAACTCTGAATCCAGAGTCAGCTGACGGGTCCATCACTGCAGTCTGAACGGGATCAGATGTTCTGTTCACTCGGAGTCAAACATACAGAGTTCATTAGCTGCCAGTAACAGGTGATCCTGAACACAACACCTGATCCAGAACGGAGACGCTGCGGTGGACTAAAGAAACCAGCACGTGTTCACGGCCTCCTGCTGTTCACACCCACTGACGTCTTCAGATCATTGTTCACACATGAAGAGGAGGTCAGAGGAGGAGGTGAGGAGAGCACCCGACTGTTGGTTTAACATGAGAGCATGTTGCTAAGCTGTCCTTTAGCTTTACACTATCAAAGTTCATTCAACACTCAGTTATGGCTCCTGTCTCTTTAAGGCCCCCCTCCCTGGGAGCCCACTTGCTACTGATTGGCCAACTGCCCTGAGCTTAGAATAGGGGCGGGGCTTAGCAGCACAGCGCTAAATCAAGCTATACACAGGGCTTAAAGCAAGAAAATGTTCTGTGCCTGGATGTGTTACGACAAAATTGGAGGGGGTGGGGGAGGCCAGAGGGTAACTGTGTGTAGAGAAGTGGTGGAGAAATAACTCATTATTAACGCTTCAGTAAGTTCTCCTTTATTCAGCTCTTTGATTAACTCCTGACTTTACTTTGATTACAATCATTAAAAACAGTTATTAAACTTTACACTGCTTACTGTCATTAAACAGTTATTAAACTTTACACTGCTTACTGTCATTAAACTTTACGCTGTTTCCTGTCATTAAACAGTTATTAAACTTTACGCTGTTTCCAGTCATTAAACAGTTATTAAACTTTACGCTGTTTCCAGTCATTAAACAGTTATTAAACTTTACGCTGTTTCCTGTCATTAAAAACAGTCATTAAACTTTACGCTGTTTCCTGTCATTAAACAGTTATTAAACTTTACGCTGTTTCCTGTCATTAAACAGTTATTAAACTTTACGCTGTTTCCAGTCATTAAACAGTTATTAAACTTTACACTGTTTCCTGTCATTAAACAGTTATTAAACTTTACGCTGTTTCCTGTCATTAAACAGTTATTAAACTTTACGCTGTTTCCTGTCATTAAACAGTTATTAAACTTTACTTTGTTTCCTGTCATTAAAACAGTCATTAAACTTTACTTTGTTTCCTGTCATTAAAAACAGTCATTAAACTTTACTTTGTTTCCTGTCATTAAAAACAGTCATTAAACTTTACTTTGTTTCCTGTCATTAAAAACAGTCATTAAACTTTACTTTGTTTACTGTCATTAAAAACAGTCATTAAACTTTACACTGCTTACTGTCATTAAACAGTTATTAAACTTTACACTGCTTACTGTCATTAAACTTTACGCTGTTTCCTGTCATTAAACAGTTATTAAACTTTACGCTGTTTCCAGTCATTAAACAGTTATTAAACTTTACGCTGTTTCCAGTCATTAAACAGTTATTAAACTTTACGCTGTTTCCAGTCATTAAACAGTTATTAAACTTTACGCTGTTTCCTGTCATTAAACAGTTATTAAACTTTACACTGTTTCCTGTCATTAAACAGTTATTAAACTTTACACTGTTTCCTGTCATTAAACAGTTATTAAACTTTACGCTGTTTCCTGTCATTAAACAGTTATTAAACTTTACGCTGTTTCCTGTCATTAAACAGTTATTAAACTTTACTTTGTTTCCTGTCATTAAAAACAGTCATTAAACTTTACTTTGTTTCCTGTCATTAAAAACAGTCATTAAACTTTACTTTGTTTCCTGTCATTAAAAACAGTCATTAAACTTTACTTTGTTTCCTGTCATTAAAAACAGTCATTAAACTTTACTTTGTTTACTGTCATTAAAAACAGTCATTAAACTTTACTTTGTTTACTGTCATTAAACAGTTATTAAACTTTACACTGTTTCCTGTCATTAAACAGTTATTAAACTTTACGCTGTTTCCTGTCATTAAACAGTTATTAAACTTTACACTGCTTACTGTCATTAAACTTTACGCTGTTTCCTGTCATTAAACAGTTATTAAACTTTACGCTGTTTCCTGTCATTAAACAGTTATTAAACTTTACGCTGTTTCCTGTCATTAAACAGTTATTAAACTTTACGCTGTTTCCTGTCATTAAACAGTTATTAAACTTTACGCTGTTTCCTGTCATTAAACAGTTATTAAACTTTACGCTGTTTCCTGTCATTAAACAGTTATTAAACTTTACGCTGTTTCCTGTCATTAAAAACAGTCATTAAACTTTACACTGTTTCCAGTCATTAAACAGTTATTAAACTTTACGCTGTTTCCTGTCATTAAAAACAGTCATTAAACTTTACTTTGTTTACTGTCATTAAAAACAGTCATTAAACTTTACTTTGTTTACTGTCATTAAACAGTTATTAAACTTTACACTGCTTACTGTCATTAAACAGTTATTAAACTTTACGCTGTTTCCTGTCATTAAAAACAGTCATTAAACTTTACTTTGTTTACTGTCATTAAAAACAGTCATTAAACTTTACTTTGTTTACTGTCATTAAACAGTTATTAAACTTTACACTGCTTACTGTCATTAAACAGTTATTAAACTTTACGCTGTTTCCTGTCATTAAACAGTTATTAAACTTTACGCTGTTTCCTGTCATTAAACAGTTATTAAACTTTACGCTGTTTCCTGTCATTAAACAGTTACTAAACTTTACGCTGTTTCCTGTCATTAAACAGTTATTAAACTTTACGCTGTTTCCTGTCATTAAACAGTTATTAAACTTTACTTTGTTTACTGTCATTAAAAACAGTCATTAAACTTTACTTTGTTTACTGTCATTAAACAGTTATTAAACTTTACTTTGTTTACTGTCATTAAACAGTTATTAAACTTTACACTGCTTACTGTCATTAAACTTTACGCTGTTTCCTGTCATTAAACAGTTATTAAACTTTACGCTGTTTCCTGTCATTAAACAGTTATTAAACTTTACTTTGTTTCCTGTCATTAAAAACAGTCATTAAACTTTACTTTGTTTACTGTCATTAAACTTTACTTTGTTTACTGTCATTAAACTTTAGGCTGTTATCTGTTAACTTGTTCACCTTTAATAAACTGCGCGGCTCCCCGCAGCTCGGAGTCCTCCGTCATGCTGAACAGGGCCGACAGGATCGGAGAGTGCCGAACTCCCTCCACCATCATGGATCCGTCTAATTCCTGGCTTCTCTCAGCTCCTCAAACTTTTCAGCTAGCAGCTCAGTTAGCCGTTAGCGGGCTAGCTGCCGCAATAGCACGCAGGTGAACGGAGACTTTTAAAAGTGCAAAACTTTCTCCTCAGTCTCCATCAGTCCCCGCGGCTGCTCCTCGCCCACAGAAGAATCTTCCTACCGTTTCCGTTGTTTGCTTTTCCGTCTTTTCCCCGGTAAACATTCCCGGGTTAGCATGTTAGCATATTAGCAGCGACACTCCGAGACGCTGAAACTCTGATTGACCAAATCCCTCTTTAAGACACGTTACCACAGCAACGGGGGCCGCGCCCATAGAAGACTCAGCCAATCACCGAGCAGAGCAGGCTTTGCTGCCTTCACTGTCCGCTAGGAAACACGGGCAGTGAGGCTTTCAGGTACCGAGAGCAGCAAACACGTTTATTATCTTGTGCATAACTAACTTTGGAGGCTCCGTACAAATAAAAATTACATTATTTCTCATATATAGTGACCACCTCAATAATTATAAAAACAAGTGATGTGGGCTGTATAGGTGTCCTCACAGCCTCACAGGACAATAGCAGCACTTTAAAAAGGTTTAAGACGCTCAAATGGCCTCCGGGCCTTCTGCTGCAGAACCCGGCTGTCGTGTTCTCATACTTTTAGTAACTGTGTGTGATCTAACAAACTTTTTATTTAAGTTTTGTCTTTTCTCTCAAATTCAGAGAAGAAGAACAGCAGGAACCGGCTGAGGTTCTGTCAGAGAAGAACAGCAGGAACCGGCTGAGGTTCTGTCACAGAAGAACAGAAGGAACTGGCGGAGGCTCTGTCAGAAAAGAAGAACAGGAGGAACCAGCTTAGGTTCTGTCAGAGAAGAAGAACAGCATGAACCAGCTGGGGTTCTCTAAGAAAAGAAGAACAGAAGGAAAAGGCTGATGTTCTGTCAGAGAAGAAGAACAGCAGGAACCAGCTGAGGTTCTGTCAGAGAATAACAGAATGAACCGGCTGAGGTTCTGCCAGAGAAGAACAGCCGGAACCAGCTGAGGTTCTCTAAGAAAAGAACAGCAGGAACCAGCTGAGGTTCTGTCAAAGAAGAAGAACAGCAGGCACTGGCTGAGGTTCTGTCAGAGAAGAACAGAAGGAACTGGCTGAGGCTCTGTCAGAGAAGAACAGCAGGAACCAGCTGAGGTTCTGTCAGAGAAGAACAGATGGAACCAGCTGAGGTTCTGTCAGAGAAGAACAGAAGGAACTGGCTGAGGCTCTGTCAGAGAAGAACAGCAGGAACCAGCTGAGGTTCTGTCAGAGAAGAACAGAAGGAACTGGCTGAGGCTCTGTCAGAGAAGAACAGCAGGAACCAGCTGAGGTTCTGTCAGAGAAGAACAGATGGAACCAGCTGAGGTTCTGCCAGAGAAGAACAGCAGGAACCAGCTGAGGTTCTGTCAGAGAAGAACAGATGGAACCAGCTGAGGTTCTGCCAGAGAAGAACAGCAGGAACCAGCTGAGGTTCTGTCAGAGAAGAACAGATGGAACCAGCTGAGGTTCTGCCAGAGAAGAACAGCAGGAACCAGCGTAGGTTCTGTCAGAGAAGAAGAACAGCATGAACCAGCTGTGGTTCTCTAAGAAAAGAAGAACAGAAGGAAAAGGCTGATGTTCTGTCAGAGAAGAAGAACAGCAGGAACCAGCTGAGGTTCTGTCAGAGAAGAACAGAAGGAACTGGCTGAGGCTCTGTCAGAGAAGAACAGCAGGAACCAGCTGAGGTTCTGTCAGAGAAGAACAGATGGAACCAGCTGAGGTTCTGCCAGAGAAGAACAGCAGGAACCAGCTGAGGTTCTGTCAGAGAAGAACAGATGGAACCAGCTGAGGTTCTGCCAGAGAAGAACAGATGGAACCAGCTGAGGTTCTGCCAGAGAAGAACAGCAGGAACCAGCTGAGGTTCTGTCAGAGAAGAACAGAAGGAACTGGCTGAGGCTCTGTCAGAAAAGAAGAACAGGAAGAACCAGCGTAGGTTCTGTCAGAGAAGAAGAACAGCATGAACCAGCTGTGGTTCTCTAAGAAAAGAAGAACAGAAGGAAAAGGCTGATGTTCTGTCAGAGAAGAAGAACAGCAGGAACCAGCTGAGGTTCTGTCAGAGAATAACAGAAAGGACCAGCTGAGGTTCTGCCAGAGAAGAACAGCAGGAACCAGCTGAGGTTCTGTCAGAGAAGAACAGATGGAACCAGCTGAGGTTCTGTCAGAGTCACTGACTCTCTGTACCAAGAAGGCTTTACGCCCTGAACTTCGACTGAAGGCTCAGTCTGAATATCTTCTGATCACTCACTGCATTAATTAATGAATAACTGATCAGTGAAAGTTGCTCACCTGTTCCAAATAAGACGATTCACTGGACTTTACTTTGTCTTCACGTCGTCCTACCTGAGCTCAACCAACATCAGCACTGGGAACAGGTGAAATAATCTCACCTGATTGGCCAGTTTTAAGACGCAGTATCAGACTGCAGGTTCAGGTGGACGTTTAAAACCTGGATTAGTCCTTTAATGTAAGAATCTCACCTGCGATCAGAGAGATCCACACACGGTTTGGTCCCGGTCCAGGCCCCAGTCCAGGTCCTGATCCTTGTCCAGGTCCTGGTCCTGGTCCTGGTTGGAGGATCCGGGGGCCATCCTGGTGCGTTCTCCAGGCCCCGGCATCCGCCATGCTACAGGGTGGCGAGCAGACTGCGAGGAAGCGGCCGGTCTGAGTTGAGGAGGTGTCGGGTGACCCAGATCAGGTTACTCTTGGTTCCAGAGGGGAATGAGGTGTGACTTTACAGCCTCCTCAGGTTTCAACACACATTCAGGTCTGAGCTGGACTTCCTGCTGTACACACTGTACATCAGCTCACCTGATGCAGGTGAGTTAGAAAGGTTAGCGGGAAGGTCAACACGACACCACGCTGATGACATCACGGAAACAAGACGGGGACCAAAGGAAGTCCAGGTCCAGAGCAGGTCATCTGTGTTCATCCTGTCTCACTGCAACTTGTTGGAATAAAAACCCAAAACAAACTACAATACCCAGTATTCGACACGAACAGAAAACTGGAGCAGTAAGGGGTTCAGGGGCCACCTGGCAGCGCTCTAGGAGCAGTAAGGGGTCTGGTGTAGACCTCCTGGGGCTGCTGTCGTTCTGGGTTGAAGATTCTGTGTGGAGGGTTCTGTATTGACACTTCTGGGTGGAGGGTTCTGGATGGAGGGTTCTATGTGGAGGGTTCTGGATGAAGGGTTCTGTGTGGAGGATTCTGTGTGGAGAGTTCTGGATGAACCGTTCTGGATGGACAGTTCTGGGTGGAAGATTCTGTGTGGAGGATTCTGTGTGGAGAGTTCTGGATGGACAGTTCTGGGTGGACAGTTCTGGGTGGAGGATTCTGTGTGGAGAGTTCTGGATGAACCGTTCTGGATGGACAGTTCTGGGTGGACAGTTCTGGGTGGAGGATTCTGTGTGGAGAGTTCTGGATGAACCGTTCTGGATGGACAGTTCTGGGTGGAGGGCTCTGGGTGGAAGATTCTGTGTGGAGAGTTCTGGATGGACGGTTCTGGGTGGAGGGCTCTGGGTGTAAGATTCTGTGTGGAGGGTTCTGGATGGAGGATTCTGTGTGGAGGGTTCTGGGTGGAGGGTTCTGGATGGAGGATTCTGGGTGGAGGGTTCTGTGTGGAGGATTCTGTGTGGAGGGTTCTGTGTGGAGGGTTCTGTGTGGAGGGTTCTGGTGGAGGATTCTGTGTGGAGGGTTCTGGGTGGAGGGTTCTGGATGGAGGATTCTGGGTGGAGGGTTCTGTGTGGAGGATTCTGTGTGGAGGGTTCTGTGTGGAGGATTCTGTGTGGAGAGTTCTGGATGAACCGTTCTGGATGGACAGTTCTGGGTGGAGGGCTCTGGGTGGAAGATTCTGTGTGGAAGATTCTGTGTGGAGGGTTCTGGATGGACAGTTCTGGGTGGAGGGCTCTGGGTGGAAGATTCTGTGTGGAGGGTTCTGTGTGGAGGGTTCTGGATGGAGGATTCTGTGTGGAGGGTTCTGGATGGAGGGTTCTGGATGGAGGATTCTGGGTGGAGGATTCTGTGTGGAGGGTTCTGGATGGAGGGTACTGGATGGAGGATTCTGGGTGGAGGATTCTGGATGGAGGATTCTGTGTGGAGGGTTCTGGATGGAGGGTTCTGGATGGAGGGTTCTGTGTGGAGGGTTCTGTGTGGAGGGTTCTGGGTGGAGGGTTCTGTGTGGAGGGTTCTGGATGGAGGATTCTGGGTGGAGGGTTCTGGATGGAGGGTTCTGTGTGGAGGATTCTGTGTGGAGGGTTCTGTGTGGAGGGTTCTGTGTGGAAGATTCTGGGTGGAGGGTTTTGGGTGGAGGATTCTGTGTGGAGGGTTGTGTGTGGAGGGTTCTGTGTGGAGGGTTCTGTGTGGAGGGTTCTGGATGGAGGGTTCTGTGTGGAGGATTCTGTGTGGAGGGTTCTGTGTGGAGGGTTCTGGGTGGAGGGTTCTGTGTGGAAGATTCTGGGTGGAGGGTTTTGGGTGGAGGATTCTGTGTGGAGGGTTGTGTGTGGAGGGTTCTGTGTGGAGGGTTCTGTGTGGAGGGTTCTGGATGGAGGGTTCTGTGTGGAGGGTTCTGTGTGGAGGATTCTGTGTGGAGGATTCTGTGTGGAGGGTTCTGTGTGGAAGGTTTTGGGTGGAGGGTTCTGGGTGGAGGGTTCTGTGTGGAGGGTTCTGGATGGAGGATTCTGGGTGGAGGGTTCTGGATGGAGGGTTCTGTGTGGAGGATTCTGTGTGGAGGGTTCTGTGTGGAGGGTTCTGTGTGGAAGATTCTGGGTGGAGGGTTTTGGGTGGAGGATTCTGTGTGGAGGGTTGTGTGGAGGGTTCTGTGTGGAGGGTTCTGTGTGGAGGGTTCTGGATGGAGGGTTCTGTGTGGAGGATTCTGTGTGGAGGGTTCTGTGTGGAGGGTTCTGTGTGGAGGGTTCTGTGTGGAAGATTCTGGGTGGAGGGTTTTGGGTGGAGGATTCTGTGTGGAGGGTTCTGTGTGGAGGGTTCTGTGTGGAGGGTTCTGTGTGGAGGGTTCTGGATGGAGGGTTCTGTGTGGAGGGTTCTGTGTGGAGGGTTCTGTGTGGAGGGTTCTGTGTGGAGGGTTCTGTGTGGAAGGTTTGGGTGGAGGATTCTGTGTGGAGGGTTCTGTGTGGAGGGTTCTGTGTGGAGGGTTCTGTGTGGAGGATTCTGTGTGGAGGGTTCTGTGTGGAGGGTTCTGGATGGAGGGTTCTGTGTGGAGGGTTCTGGATGGAGGGTTCTGTGTGGAGGATTCTGTGTGGAGGGTTCTGTGTGGAAGGTTCTGTGTGGAAGATTCTGGGTGGAGGGTTTTGGGTGGAGGATTCTGTGTGGAGGGTTGTGTGTGGAGGGTTCTGTGTGGAGGGTTCTGTGTGGAGGGTTCTGGATGGAGGGTTCTGTGTGGAGGGTTCTGTGTGGAGGATTCTGTGTGGAGGATTCTGTGTGGAGGGTTCTGTGTGGAAGGTTTTGGGTGGAGGATTCTGTGTGGAGGGTTCTGTGTGGAGGGTTCTGTGTGGAGGGTTCTGTGTGGAGGATTCTGTGTGGAGGGTTCTGTGTGGAGGGTTCTGGATGGAGGGTTCTGGATGGAGGGTTCTGTGTGGAGGATTCTGTGTGGAGGGTTCTGTGTGGAAGGTTCTGTGTGGAAGATTCTGGGTGGAGGGTTTTGGGTGGAGGATTCTGTGTTGAGACAGACGGATGTCAGAATAGGAGAAATGGAAGTAATAGATGAGATCATTGGATCTCTCCAAGTTCACTCAGGTCTGGCTTATTGCTCCTAAACACTGATGAGGAGCACAAAGGAGATCTTGGTGAGACCGATTGTGTTGCATTATGGTCTCAGCCTGGAGAACCTTCCTGAAGACTTTGTCCTGAGGGGGATTTAAAAGTCCTCAAAATTGTACTCAGATAAATGTAAAAGTGCTCAGGAAGACATTGTTGTCTCTCAGTTCTTGAGCCCGTCATGAATTAATGTCTAAACATCAGGTCACAGTGGTTTTCAATGACGAAATCTATTTTCTTCTTCTTCTCAGTAACTTGTAACAGGATTCAGATAAAAAGCAACAGGATCTGAAATTCATGGGAGTAAAAGTATAAACACACCTAAACAGAAAATACTCAAGTGCAAGTACCTCAGCCTTTGACTGAAGTACTTGAGTAAAAGTAACTTTATATAAAAGGGGTCACTGACACAAAACTGAGGTCTTGGAGCTTTTTCTCTGATCCACATTCAGGAGACTTAAATTAGACTCATTAAAGATCATTTAGAGATCTCATCAGATCAAACTGTGTCCGGTTGTTTGAAAGAAACAACTCAGATCTCTTCCTGGATTTAGTCGGCACCTCCAGCAGAGACCGCGTGAACCGGTTTATTCTGTTGGCTCCACTAGTTTATAAAGCGTGTGATGATTCTGCTTTTTAAAGACACGCCGCCACGTTTTTATGTTAGAACCTGTTGGTTTAAACTCCACGCAGAACATTCAGCTTCTTTCTACTGTTGGAGGCTGGCGCCCCCTACAGGCTGCACAGTTCCTCACAGCCACATTATGAACCCCTCCCTGGTGGTTCTGCAGGAGACGCCTCAGACTGAACCCAGAAAATCATTTTCTTACTTTGAGACCCACATCATGTTCTGGCCTCCTCAGGAGGTCTGACTTCATTCTCAACCTTTGATTAAACCAACTATCACAATATAACTTTCCTCAATAACAAATGTTCAATAAGTTTGACTTAATTCATTTGAATCAGCACTAAAGACATTTATTTTGTTGAGGAAGGACTGAAAACAGATTTTATCAGAATAGCTCCTCAGATTAGTTTACTGATCCTGTTTGGCATCAAGAGTTTGTTCTGACCAGAAAGAAAAGTTTAAAACCACATTAACTTTCACTCAGGAGCACAAATCCGCCTTTACACTGAAAGAAATGATTATCTGACATTGATCCTGATAATTATCGATCAAGAATGAGATGTTTTATCCCGATAACGTTTCGGGCCGTATCGCTCAGCTCTACGTCCTCTTACTCGTGTTTCAGGGCTTTAAACCGAGCTCTTGTCAGCGTCGGCCGAAAGCTGCAGAAGGACGGCGAGTGGAGACTGTGTGGTCTGAAGTGGACCCGGAGGAGCAGCAGGAAGAGACTCGGTGCAGCTTGCATGTTGGAAACATCTTTATTTATTACAGTTACAAGGAAACACCCTGAGAGACAGAAGCTAAGGGGGTCGGCCGAGACGGGAGCAGCTACCGAGTCCAGGAGAGAGAGAGAGCACTCAGTGTGTGTGTGTTCAGTGTGTGTGTGTTCAGTGTGTGTGTGTGTTCAGTGTGTGTGTGTGTGTGTTCAGTGTGTGTTCAGTGTGTGTGTTCAGTGTGTGTTCAGTGTGTGTGTGTGTGTGTGTGTGTGTTCAGTGTGTGTGTGTGTGTGTGTGTGTGTTCAGTGTGTGTGTGTGTGTGTGTGTGTTCTGTGTGTGTGTGTGTGTGTTCAGTGTGTGTGTGTGTGTGTGTGTGTGTTCAGTGTGTGTTCAGTGTGTGTGTGTGTGTGTTCAGTGTGTGTGTGTGTGTTCAGTGTGTGTGTGTGTGTTCAGTGTGTGTGTGTGTGTTCAGTGTGTGTTCAGTGTGTGTTCAGTGTGTGTTCAGTGTGTGTGTGTGTGTGTGTTCAGTGTGTGTTCAGTGTGTGTGTGTGTGTTCAGTGTGTGTTCAGTGTGTGTGTGTGTTCAGTGTGTGTTCAGTGTGTGTGTGTGTGTGTGTGTGTGTTCAGTGTGTGTTCAGTGTGTGTGTGTGTGTGTTCAGTGTGTGTGTGTGTTCAGTGTGTGTGTGTGTTCAGTGTGTGTGTGTGTGTGTTCAGTGTGTTCAGTGTGTGTGTGTGTGTTCAGTGTGTGTGTGTGTGTTCAGTGTGTGTGTGTGTGTTCAGTGTGTGTGTGTGTGTGTTCAGTGTGTGTTCAGTGTGTGTTCAGTGTGTGTTCAGTGTGTGTGTGTGTGTGTGTTCAGTGTGTGTTCAGTGTGTGTGTGTGTGTTCAGTGTGTGTTCAGTGTGTGTGTGTGTTCAGTGTGTGTTCAGTGTGTGTGTGTGTGTGTGTGTGTTCAGTGTGTGTTCAGTGTGTGTGTGTGTGTGTTCAGTGTGTGTGTGTGTGTTCAGTGTGTGTGTGTGTGTTCAGTGTGTGTGTGTGTGTTCAGTGTGTTCAGTGTGTGTGTGTGTGTGTGTGTTCAGTGTGTGTGTGTTCAGTGTGTGTGTGTTCAGTGTGTGTGTGTGTGTGTTCAGTGTGTGTGTGTGTGTGTTCAGTGTGTGTGTGTGTGTGTGTTCAGTGTGTGTTCAGTGTGTGTGTTCAGTGTGTGTGTTCAGTGTGTTCAGTGTGTTCAGTGTGTTCAGTGTGTTCAGTGTGTTCAGTGTGTGTTCAGTGTGTGTTCAGTGTGTGTTCAGTGTGTGTTCAGTGTGTGTTCAGTGTGTGTTCAGTGTGTGTGTGTGTGTGTGTTCAGTGTGTGTGTGTGTGTGTTCAGTGTGTGTGTGTGTGTGTTCAGTGTGTGTTCAGTGTGTTCAGTGTGTGTTCAGTGTGTGTTCAGTGTGTGTGTGTTCAGTGTGTGTTCAGTGTGTGTGTTCAGTGTGTGTGTGTTCAGTGTGTGTGTTCAGTGTGTGTTCAGTGTGTGTGTTCAGTGTGTGTTCAGTGTGTGTGTGTTCAGTGTGTGTGTGTGTGTTCAGTGTGTTCAGTGTGTGTGTTCAGTGTGTTCAGTGTGTGTGTTCAGTGTGTTCAGTGTGTGTTCAGTGTGTTCAGTGTGTGTTCAGTGTGTTCAGTGTGTGTTCAGTGTGTGTGTGTGTGTTCAGTGTGTGTTCAGTGTGTGTGTGTGTGTTCAGTGTGTGTGTGTTCAGTGTGTGTTCAGTGTGTGTGTGTGTGTTCAGTGTGTGTGTGTGTGTTCAGTGTGTGTTCAGTGTGTTCAGTGTGTTCAGTGTGTTCAGTGTGTGTTCAGTGTGTGTGTGTGTGTGTTCAGTGTGTGTGTGTGTGTGTGTTCAGTGTGTGTGGCTACAGGTTGGGGTTAGTGGCTCCTGATCCTTCACACTCGATGATGTGGGTGACGTTGCTGCTCAGCTCGTCCTCAGATTTCGTTATCGTGAACTTTGCCTGAAAACAGAAAAACAAACATTAATATTAATCACAGAGACTCCGGCGGCTCGTCACAGCTCTGAATGTTTCCGCTGTCACTCGTTTGTGAGAGCACGGTGAAGCTAGCTGCACCTGAAGTTGGAGTGCACACGTATTAGAGCCTTTATGGTAATTGAGAGGTCATGAGCAGCTGGCGGGAAGCTCAGAGACTTTATTCTGTTAGTTTCTCTTTACAAAGTCTGTGGTTCTGACCCGAAGAGAGGCTGTGAAGTCTTTTAACCCATCAAACTAAGTCAGACTCAGTTTGAACTTCGTTTGAAGTCCGCTTATCAAAATAAGGTGTTAAAACAACGTTTGTACGGAATGAATTTATAAAACATGTTGATTAAACGTTAAAAACACTAAATGTTAATGTTAATTAATTTAGTCTTTAATCCTGGTTTGCTGGAAAAACATTAAATGAATGTGTTGACTTTTCTTTTTATATCTAAACAGCATGTTTACTAGAACACAAACGTCTTCACACTCTTCATTTCCTCTCCGAGCACCAGATTAACGCCCAGGAGTCCACACACACCTGAGTCAGCTGCTCTGCGATGTGGATGGCCGTCTGCGTGTGCAGCGTCACGGCGCCGGTTCGAATCCGAGACGTTCCCTTCGCCAACGCCATGAAGATGATGAGCTGAGGAGGAAGAGGAGGAGAGGGGGTCAGCGCACGGACCAATGAAGAGCTGCGAGGGTTTCACAGGCAGACTTCAGACTCGTCCTCGCTGCCGTTTCCTTCTTGCCACCTGTAGAAACTGCACGCCGCGTTCAGCTCTGTTTTAACCCTTCGATCTACTCGACGTCTCAGTGTCTGAGGGGGCGGGGCCAGCGAGAAAAACACTACTGAGCACGTGCGGAGAGTCTCAAGACAAGGAAGCAAACATGGAAACTGTCAGGGAGTAATTTATGATTGAAGTGAATGGACCGTCTTCAAGTCCAGTCTCTAACACCGTCCATCTACATCAGGGCTTTTCCTGCATAGAGAAAAAGGAAAATCCTCAGCGCCAAAATGATCAAAACAATTGGGGGGGGGAACAACCTTTCAAATCCTCTCCGAATGCGTTTTAATAGCCTTTTATCAAACAGCTGTGGAGCAAGCAGAATATAAACTTAAATTCAACGTCTCGCCTCCGCTCGTCCACAGCGCAGTCTTTTACACCTGATTAATAAACCAGCTGCTGCGTTGGTCCGACTGCGCCTGAACGCACCGCTACGAAGCTCGCGCTAATGACTTCCTGTTATTTCTCACAAGACAAAAGCAGTTTGTGCTTCAAGTGCGTCGGTATTCACCGCTCACTTTTACATGTTACTCCTTGGCGTCCCGGCCCCGGTTCTCTCCACATCAGGTTCTCTGGGCTCTACGTGACGCTCACCTGTTCCCGTTCTCTCCTGCCTGCTAACCTCCGCAGGGAGATCAGGAGCCTTCATGCAGCCGTGTGCGTTACTGGCTCGTCAAAGTCACTTTTCATTAACCAGCCAATCACAGCCTGGAGGAGGCGGGACATTAAAAAAAGGTTGAGCACTACAGCAAACTTTAGAAATGTTTAACTCGTCGTTCTGTGTACACAGTTGCCTAAACAAATGAGAGGCTGAGCTGGAGGAGAGT